TTATGTGCAAAATTAAAACTTCTAACAAAAAGATCAATTTTAAATTTGTTTTCTAAAAAGTTGGTGAGTTTTTGAGGACTTCAGTCCTTACAACAAACATCAGCAGACATCTTTCTTCATTTGTAAGATTTTGATAACTAACAGTAAAATAATGAATATAACTTTTATTAAAGGATAAACACTGATATTGCAGAAAAGAACATTCTAATGATGTAAAGAGATGTTGGAGATCAGGCTTCGGCGGTATTATCGTACACAGCCGATGTTAAAAACGAGCAAAGGTGTCAGTTCCAACACCGTCATAAAAAACAGTGCAGGTAGGACACAAGGATTAAAAACAATGAAAAGATTATTAAACATAAATAAAAATCATTTAATGTATAAAACAGAAGTGTGGTTGAATTTTCAGTTTTACTTTAATGTTTAGTCCAAATTTTGGAGACTTTCCATAAAGTTTATGATCCTGATGCCATTACACGAAAGTGCCGAGAGAAACATGGCAGCTCGTGCACCAGCTGGTTTTGGTATCTAAATGGAACAAAACTTCTGCAGTTTGGGAGTATTTCAGGTTGGAAGCAAGCTTTAACACTGATGAGGTAATTTGTGTAAACAGAAGACGACAGCGAAAGATTAAATTAGTCCCGGTAATACCGTACACCGTGGGAAAATGTGGAGAAAGCTAGACGGTAATAAAATGTGGATACCACCAAAGCCAGGAGTTGATCTCATGCCCTCAAAGTGCCCCAGGTTCAGGGTTTCCCCCAGAAAAAGTTTAAAACCATGACTAGAATGCGGTTTCATGAGCCGTTTACTAAACTGGTTTTGTAGACTGACAAGTGGAGACTAAGATGGAGTTTAGTTTTCTTCTGATGTCACCAGCTGAGAGTCCAACCTGTTAAAGTGCAGATTTAGGTTGTTTCATCCATACTTATGTATATAAACACTAGATGCCTCGTCCCCGCTGTTCGCCAATGGGATGCGACGTAGGAGCGTGGCGGCCATCTTACCTCAGACAGCTGCCCCCTATCGTGACATTGGGGTGTATGGTGCATGCACTAGTTAAATAACTCTAACTTGCTCAATTTTCAACCAATTTTCAAAAGGTTTGATTTGTTATAAACGCCAGAGATGTGTCTGTGAAATAGGATGTGTTTGGCCCAGAAATTCTTGTTATTTCACTCCACAAAGCATTTAATCTTTCACAGATAACACATTTAATTGTAAGCTAAGTCAATAGCCTATTATATTATATAGATTTATCTATTTGCGGAGACACGCAACGCCATTATCCGTCCTTGCAGGCCTGCTGGAGAGCTCCACAAGGACGGACGGAGTCGAGCTCTCTTTTCTAAACAAACCGTCGAGACGGAGAACGCAAGCTTGTGATTGGTCAGGGCACTGCTGTTGTCTACACCGCCGCCATTGCACCCTCAAAAACATAAAGAGAGCCGAGGATAACTAGCAGCAGACACGGAGAAGCTTGAAGAATACCTCGCGAAAAAACTCTGAAAACATGAACGTTTAATTCCCCGTGACTGGAGGAGTGAAAAGATGCACAGCAAGCGTTTTATTTGTGGACAGAAATGACAGGAAACGTGGGTTTAGAGGTGGCGAGCACATGAAGAGGTGGAGGAGGATGAGAGACAAATTTGTCTGTTAAAAGTCTCTTATATACAAAAAACACAATATAAACACATTATCTTGGACCGATACATGACAGGATACCACAGAACAGCGCTACACCCTCTGTTGTCCTGGTGGGAATTGCTTTGCAACACTCCCCAGGAGACGGAGAAGTATGAGGGCAAAATGTCTCCGTCCGTGCGTGTCTCTCCCTGTTGGAGTTGACGGAGAAGCATGACTCAGGCTTTAGTCTCTGGGCGACGCCATATTGTTATATTTCATTACCTTTTTATGTGAGCCGTCTTTTGTGAGTAAGTCAATCTCGTTGTACACCTGTACAATGACAACATGATTGATCTTGAACCTATTAGACTCCATGTTTCCTCCTACGGGAGCCCAAGAGGACAAAATGCATTGACTGATTTGGAACAAGCAGTTACAAAACTTTCGCCGTTCATAAACGTTGTTTCACACATAAGATAAGATAAGAACAACTTTATTTATCCCGAGGGAAATTCTTGTGTCATGTACCTGCTCAAAGCAGTCGGAGAGACAATGGAACAGGCGAAATAGAAATATGATATACAATATATACAGTAAAAAATAATCTACAGTAGTACCCTGTAGGATAGTGCAAAACAAACAATCGCATATCTCAACAAATAAATACATGACTGCATCCTTGTGAATAAGTAATTAAGCCGTCGGTGCAGGCGATTCACAAAAGTGATTAAAGTATTGTGTAATAGAATTAGGGGTAGTAGCAGCATATGATATGATGGGGGGAGAAAAACATATTTACAATCAGAACTCTTGGGTGATATTGCACAGTCTGGGAGGGAACAGAGTAACCTAGGTAACAGTTTTAGGAGAATCACCTACAGGGTGAGGAAGAGTTAAACAGTCCTACTGCCACCGGTACGAAGGATTTCCTGTGGCGGTCAGTTCTGCATTTCAGGGCAATGAGTCTTTTGCTGCGTGAGCTTCGATGGTCCATCATGTGGGCGTGCATGGGGTGGGAGGGGTTGTCCATGATAGAGAGAAGCTTTTTTAGCATTCTCCTCTCAGACACCTCCTCCAGCTTCTCCAGTCTAACACCCAGGACAGACCCAGCCCTTCTAATCAGCTTGTTCAACCGGTTGGCATCAGCTATCTTCACCCCACTGCCCCAGCTGCAAAGAACACAACGCTCTCCAACACCGAGTGGTAGAACACGGTCAGCATTTTCCTCCCAACATTGAAGGACCTGAGCCGCCTCAGAAGAAAAAGCCGACTCTGCCCTTTTTTGAAGATAGCATTGGTGTTCTTGGTCCAGTCCAGTTTACAGTCCAAGTGAACCCCCAGGTACCGGTAGTCCTCAACGATCTCAACGTCAGCCCCTCTTATGGTGACAGGAGTAGGAGGTGGGGCCTGCTTCCTAAAGTCCATAGAGCTCCGGGAGTTGACGCCACGTTTCCCGGCATGCAACAGTTCAAATCGAAACGGCGCCATATTGGCATGCAGAAGCCGGCAGCTGGACTATTTGTTATTGTCAGAAAACTCAATCAGACAGGAAATATGGTAGATTCCTGTTGTGCCCCAGGATGCAGAACAGACACGGACGACATAAGGAATGAGCCATCTACAGGATTCCCCAAGATCCGGAGCGCCGCAGACGTTGGATCATTGTAATAAAACGCCCTAGTGACCGGGCGAAAATGAAACTGTGGGATCCCGAGAGTAAAGGATTTGGCTTATGCAGCGACCGCTTCATATCAAGTACTTAAACCAACGTTTCCTCAACTGTGTGTGGTATTTATTTTAAATGCTTTTATTATGATTCTTAGTGGGCTTCCTAAACTTATTTTGGCGTGGCTTTTTCTGTCTTATTACTCATAGCAGCAAGTAAACGTCACGTAAAACGTTGCCTCGTGAGTTCTGCTTGCTGCCGTTTACGTGTTTTATGATGACAGCAATTAACCGACTAAGCTGTATTTAATTTTTAAGCAATGGTTGATCAATTGTCAGATCACACATAAAAAGCACTTTGGATTGCTATTATCGGTCTCACCGAGACAGATCTCAGACAGATCCTGAGACGTTCCTGCCTGACATTTTTATTTTATTCACGGAAAAAAAATCAAACTAGTGATTTCTCTTGGCGTTCAGTTTATACATTCAAACAGCACAGCACTCTATTTAAACTACTTATGTGTAAATCTGTTATTTGTCCGTCCGTCCGTCCGTCCGTCCATCCATCCATCCATCCATCCGGGGGCAGTAGCGTCGAGAGGCCCTGACTTCCCTCTCCCCAGCCGCCGGAGCCAGCTCCTCCGGGTAAATCCCAAGGGGTTCCCCGGCCAGGTCCGGTAAGAAGTCCGCTCCGACAGCTTCTGGCGTTTTTAAAAAGTATCCCAGGGGGACGGTAAGGGTCAGAGATGTTTAGTCTATTTAATTTCTGACTATATAAAACGATTTCTTCAGTTTTAAAGTGTGAAGTAAACTCCGACGAAGTAAAATCCAAGCGGATCTCGTTCACATTCATGGTTACATCCGTGTTTGTTTACCTTTTTTTCCTGCCAAAATGCCGTCTACTAACTGAGAGTCACGTGGGGTCCGGAGCTCTATAATCAGTTCCTTAGTCTTTGTGATGTTAAGTTGTAGGTGGTTTCGCTCACACCACTCCACAAAGCTGTCCACCACACTCCACAGGAAGTACAGGAGAAGATGGGAAGAGCTGGCTGTGGAGACAGGAGACGCTGGGCAGTCGAACCTATTGAAGTGTAGATTTAGGTTGTTAGCACTTTCGACATCCCCCTCCATCCCAACACCTCTCTTTTGTCTCAGGCCAGTGATAGCCCGCATTCCATTCCACACCTCCCTGGTGTTGTTTTCCTGCAGTTTGTTTTCCAGCCTCCGTCTGTAGGACTCTTTCCCCTCAGCAATCTTGGCTTTCAGCTCCCTCTGCACCAGTTTCAGCTGATCTCTGTCACCAAGCTCTTTTTTTCTTGTTCAGGGTTGCTTTTATGTCTTTGGAAACCCAGGGCTTATTGTTGGGAAAGCACAGTATGGTTTTTTGGGGGACTACCCTGTCAACACAGAAGTTGATATAGTCTGTAACACAGCCTGTCAGATTGTCCTGATTGGAATCACAAAGAACATCCCAGTCCGTTGACTCAAAGCATCCCTGCAGTCTCTTCCAACTCCCTTGTCCATGTTATGACCGTTTTTGTGGCTGCAGGTTGTCTCTGGACAGCAGGTCTGTAAAGGGGCTGGAGGGAGACCAGGTTGTGATCAGCCCTGCCCAGGGGAGGGAGAGGGCTGGAGGTGTATGCCTCAGCAGCATTGGCATAAAACAGATCCAGTGTTTTATTGTTTCTTGTTTTGCAGTCCACATACTGCTTGAATGTAGGTAGAACAGTGGAGAGGTTCATGTGGTTAAAATCGCCCGTTATAGCCACAAACGCAGAGGGATTACGATTTAGTACGTCCGCTGTCGCAGAGCTGATGACGTCACACGCCTGCGCCGCGTTGGCATCAGGAGCGATGTAAACAATGATGATAATGGCGAGGGAAAACTCACGCGGTAGATAATATGGTCGGAGACTGACCACCAACAGCCATCCTCACCTTAACGTGACTGGGGGAACACCAGCAGTTGTTAACATAAAAAACGAGTCCTCCTCCCCTCTTCTTCTCACATCTGCCCGAGTCCCATGACCGCTCTCACACACGTAAATCCGTTTATATCCACCACCTGGTCCGGGATGTTTTTCTGCAGCCACGTCTCCGTGTAACACATAACACTGCATTCTCGGAAAACTTTCTCTGTCCTTGTTGGCGTCGCGATCTCCTCCATCTTATTAACCAGCGATCTGACATTGCCAGTAACTACAGACGGGAGAGCAGGACGGAATCTTTTCCTCCTCAGTCTTCGCGTTTTCCCCGCTCCGCAGCCACGGTAGTTTCTCTTGATCACCGCGGGAATCTCATGCTGAACACCGGCATGGCTGTGCTGTCTTAGCCCCAGCAGCTGGTCGCGGCTATAGACAAAGGGGCAGCGTGGCGTCGCGGTCATCTCAGTTGTTTTGCGCCGAGTTTTGCATCCAAGCATGGCACAAAAAGAAAAAACTTCTCGACTACACAAGAAGTAACTAAATAAACACAAAAAAGAAAGAAAGGGGAAAGTTGTTTTTCAACTGCAGAGAGCATGCTAGACAGGCTGCCATCCGAGACGGCGCCGGAAGTTTATTATACAATTCCCTCTTCGCTCGTTGCCGGTGATGAAAGGGCGTCTGATATTTGTCATTTTGCTGGAGGTTGCACTCCCAGGTATTTTTGACCCTAAAGCTTGGTTTATGCTTGACGCATTCACTTTCCGCGCGGTGATGCGGCTCGCGGATGGAACGCGCTTCACAACTCGCAGCGTTTATGGTTCGTGCGGCTCGTCTCTGCGGTGAGCCAATATTCTCCCAAACTGTAGGGGGCAGCATGGAGCTCTACGGCATGCATCCAACACTACACCATAGTAGAAGTAGAAATTACTGTTTACAACATGGCATTCCAGCATTTTTAACAGCGTCCTCGTCTTTTCCGACAGTGCGAGATATTTCTCTCCAAGAATTATTAACAACATGTTGATCACGGTGATCTCTGAGAGCTGAATCATACAATTGTCTGTATTTACCAACCTCCGCCATACTAGTTCTTGCCGGTCCGCCATGTTTTTCCGCGTCTGTCCGTCCGCGTGGTTAGAAATTTTCCGAGGTGCGTGTTGCGGAAATTCTGGGCCGTGTGGAGGCGCGGTGGAGGGGCGTGGTTGTTAAAATGACGCAACTTTTGCGGACCTCGCGGACGCGTCAAGCATAAACCAACCTTAAGGGCCATCCGTTGGTACGGTCTTACTCGAACACAAAAAGAATGCTTGCTTGCATTGATTTAGGTATGTACTGCCCCCTATCGCCAGGGAAACTGCACACCATCACTCTAAGCCTCCTTTATAAAGCGCCACCAATTTGCTGCTACGCTGAATCTGAATTTGGTGGCGAGAGCGCTCAAGCTGTCGCAGAGCCGCTCACACTGGACGGTCACAGACTTGCACATTCTGCTCCATGAAACGGCTTGTTTTAGGCATAATTGATCAAAACAACCACTGACAGAAAACAGGTGGACTGTGTTTTTTTTTCATGTTTGGAGTTTTTATTGAGGCAGCAGAGACCCACATGACAACTCAACATGATGCAAAAGGAGAGTTTTGCATCATTTCTCCTTTAACATACAAAACGTTGTTACAGCAGACCTTCTGGATAAACTTGTGTAAACAAGGCAGAAAGAAACTGGCCTCTGTGCGGTCCTACAGCTGGCACAGCTGCAGGACAAAGTAGAAGATGCTCCAAAAGCCATAATACTGAGTTGAATCCACACGTAAAATAGTGCTTCAGAAAAGCATTTACAACTCAAACAAAATGTCCACTTCTGCTGGACCTCGAGTGCAAAACAACCCACAGAACCTGTAAATGAGCAGTTTCCTTAACGGTGTGGAACAGCATATCAGAGCTGAGCTTCAGACAGGATCTGGAGTCTTACTTCCTGGTATGTGGGCATCTCCCCTCTGATTGGCTAACAGCAACACGACTCTACCACTGACTCTGCTCTGCAACGTTGATGTTTTATCTCCACAAATAACACAAGCCCGGAGGAGTTCTGCTGTGCTAATGCTAACGGTTAGCTTCTACTAGCAGAGACGTTTTCTGCTGTTTCCTGGACGCTAAACCAACAACAGCCTTCCCCGTCGTGAGTCCAGATGGGTGAGTCCATGAATGTTGGTGACAGGGTGACGTAGATCTGTCAGTATTTTCTTATCCTAGAGTTTCACCGTCTGTTTTCTATCAGAAGCTGACGCAGGAGATAGGTGTAGGAGACTATTTTCATGAAACACAGTGACCCGTCCCGTAACAGTTTGTTCTTCCTCATTTTCTTCCTCTTCCTGTGTGTCATTTAGTGCTTGTTCCTTGTGAAGCTAAAGGTCAAAGGTCAACAGAGCGTGCTCGTCTTTGGCCGCTGGGATGTGTAGCGAAGGTGGAGGCGAGTCACCGAACGGGGTGACCCGATGTTTGTTAAACTTAGACATCAGTTTTGTTCTGAAATCAAATGGAAAATGTTGACTTGAGGTCAGCTTTGTCTGACTTGTGAAGTTTCACACGTACACACGTTAATATATTTATTACATATCAGCACAATCTGCACAAAGATTCTCTTTAAGCCCCAGAATCAAGTCCACGTCTCTACCTGAAAACGTAGATCACCAAAAAGACCGCTGAGGAGGCGGAAACAGCAGAAATCCAAATGACCTGGTGTGACACGTAGGGGTGACCCGAGCTGCTGTAGCTGTCGTTTTCAGAACCTGCAACAAACGGAGAAGAGCAGAGAGAAATCCTCATGCACCCATGTCAGTAGATGAATACTGAAGTAAAAAACCGCACATGCAAAACAGGTGTGTGTGTGTGTGTGTGAATCCCCCAGTTGTTATGATTACAGGGTTTCCTGTTAAAACCAGTGAAGCAAAGAGGAGTTTCAGCACTACCGTAATTTCCGGACTATAGAGCGCACCTCAATATAAGCTGCACCAACAACAAAAAGGATCTACACACACGCCGCACTCGAATACAAGCCGCGGCGCAGCAGCCACATGCAGGTCTCCGGCGCACAGCGCATGTACGGCCATAACATAAGATAATTAGACAGAAAGACGCTACACTGAGGTTTTTCGTTGTTTTAATTCAACAAAACAAATTTTAAACATGGGTGAGCGTGCCTGCAAGTTTAGAAAAGAAAACAGCACTGATAGCGTTCATATTTCTGGGTGGTTATAAAATAAAAACAGCACTGACACGTTATTACCGGTCATTTGCATGTTTAGAAGAAAAGAACAGCGCTGACACAGCATTAATAAGCCCTGGATGATTATAAAATAAAAACTGCACACAAAACATGCCTGGTTAGTAAATAAAACACACTTGCCTATCAGAAGAAGTCATTCGCTCTCATCTTCCTCCTGTGCACTAAAGCCATTAAAGTCCTCTTCTTCAGTGCCAGAAGAGCTTCGTCACATACCGTTTCTGTGGCGATGTCAGTGTCGCTGTCCGTGTTGCTGTCATCATCCCCGGGTGAAGCTGGCTTGAATGAGTTCTTCCCGCTGCCGTCTCCAGCGCCGAACCATGGATTCATTCACGCCAAGTGTAACGGAACGGAATGACTGTTTTTTCCCTTTGCTCAAGACTAGTCTGCATGAGAGATGGTCTCAAGGTCTCATGCATTCCTTCTAACCTGCTTATTTTCAGCTCAACAGAAGAATGAAGAATGAACTCTTTTCTTTTAATTAATCAAAGAACTCTATTTTAATAAAGCTAATCCATCAAAGTGTTAGTCAATGAATAAGGTGACCAATCTGTGAAATCAAAATATTAATTACTTTATTATAATCCTATAGAATATAATAAGTACTGTGACTTTAAGGGTTCCAACAGGACTCATTTCACGTAGCGTTAAAAAGACATAACACATTACTTTCACTGATCCAATCAGAATCTTACAGATCTGACGGAGGCGTGGTCATGATGGTGTTTGGTAATTTTTAATTCGACAATAAACCAAAACATCTGACGTATAAAACTACGCCACGTCAGCTCTAACGCCAGTTCAAAGCGTTCCAGAGAAAGTGACGGAGTGGCCAAACTCTTTAACCGAAAGAACAACGACAAGCTGAAAAATTTGTCGCTATTCCAACTGCGGCAACAGCTCCTTTCAGAACAAAAGCTGAACCATCAAGACCCAGGCTTGGGTCTCACCAGATGCCAACAAACTGTCGTGTACCCGGAAGTAACTCACAGACTGGTCTGATCGGAACCACTGCTTTCCATACCGGCTCGGTTCCAGAGAGGGTCCAGCTGGACCTCGATATTCCTGATCTAAAGGGGACATCCTGAAGGGTATGTAGACCGACATAATGGTGTCTCATGTGTTTATGAACCTCCTAACCAAAGCTTAATGCAAAGACATCACCTTCAATTCCCGTCAGAACTAATCGCTTCTTCGGATTAGCTGGTTCTGAGCAACATCACATGTCATCCATTCACCTTAGTTACACCATACATTTAGTTTTAAAGTCAGTCTAGTTTAATATGTTAGTAATAAAATTCTTAACTTTTAAACTTGACTCTCTCTCCTGTTGTCTCTGAGTGAATACGAAGCAGTTTTCTAATCCCTGCAATAAAAAGATCCAATCTTCTGGTTTAAATAACCTCACAGATCTGTAAGGTGGATTTCATATTTCCTATGGAATCCTACGCCTCATGGCTTATTAAATAACACGTAATCTAATTCATTACAGATGGCGAGCCAGCCAGGAGGCGTAAAGATCGAGCTTGACCTTATGGAGCCAGAGCATGTAGAAGAAGCCACAGCAACCGACCACCCATCTCGGGATACGTCCGGGTCACGACAGTTTGGAGTTTGTGTGCGGCAGCACTGTTTCCCTCCTTTACTGCCAGATCGATGGCCTTCAACTTAAATGCGGCATCATATGAACTCATACGTGTAGTTTCCATGATGAGGGGGTGTGGATTTGAAACAAATTATTCGACGTGCCGGCTGCTTGCATATGCTAAATTAAAATGAGCACTTTCTTCGATTTCCACTTTTGACTTCCACCTGTTTCACTTTCTGCTACAGCGCCCCCTGCAGGTGAAGGAAAATCTTCAGTAAAGCCGCACCTCATTATAAGCCGCATGGTTCAAAGCGTGGGAAAAAAGTAGCGGCTTATAGTCCGGAAAATACGGTAATATTATTCCTCCCCCCTCCCTTACACACACACACACACACATACACACACACACACACACACGGACGCACGCACGCACGCACATACACACACACACACACACACACACACACACGCACGCACAGACACGCATGCACGCACGCACGCACACACACACACACACACACACACAGTAAGCCTCTTTACCATCAGGATAGTCAGCCAGAGTCTGCAAATAAACCTGTGTAAAAACCAAAGAGTCACAAACCAGAATTGGTGATTTTGGGACATTTAAACATGACTGTTGGTATAAAATCTGATTTAAGTAAAATTCCTACCATTGGTGTCGTCAAATCTACAACTTCAGCTGAGAAAAGAAAACAAACAGAACTTAAAAAACATATACTGTTAAAGGTTTTTACACAATTTTACTTTCTATTTTCTCAGCATAATTCCCCCAGACGGGATGTGACAGAATGAGGTTTGATGTGGTTTTCCTTAAATTCTAGTTTAGTAAAAATCTGATCATTTTATCGTAAATCAGAGCAGCTCCAGCGGCAGACGGGCTCTGCTTTTATTTTGGTAGGGAACAGAAGTGACAGGAAATGAAAACAGGATTGAGAAAGTCTGGAATTTCAGCTCAAAGGAAGTTGGGATTCCTTTTAATGCTCAACATCTTAAAGCTGTAAGCGCCAAGAAACCAGAGTAGGTTTTTAAAGGCATTTGTTCCAGCTCACAACCTCCTTTTACTTTAATGAAAACATCTAAAAACATCACGTCTTTTATCTCTGATTTACCTAAAAATTCAAACTTGATAGAAAAAGTAAAATCACAAGCCAGCAATACTTTATGCACTCTGTGCACTTTTTCGCTGAGGAAGTGATACAAGGGGGCAGAAGTGACAGGATATTTATGGACATAAATGACCTTGCGTGACCTTTGACCCAGCTCTCACCCTGGATTCTCATGTCAGTTCTCTTGTTCGCTCTTCCTTCTTCCATCTCAGGAACGTTGCTAAGCTGAGTCCCATTCTGTCCCGCTCTGAACTTGAGACAGTTCTCCACACCTTCATCTCCTCACGCTTAGACTACTGTAACTCTCTTTTCACGTGTCTGAGCAGAACCTCCCTGAACCGTCTACAGGTGGTTCAGAACGCCTGTGCTCGGCTTCTGACCAAGTCCTCCAAACACACCCACATCACCCCGCTTCTCCTCCAGCTTCACTGGCTGCCAGTCAACTTCAGGGTTCATTTCTAGATCCTGGTTCTGGTCTATAGGGTCTTACATGGACAAGCACCATCTTACATTGGTGATCTTCTTAGTCCCTACACCCCCAGCAGGCCCCTGAGGTCCAGTGACCAAAGCCTACTGGTTGTGCAGCACCAGGCTAAAGGTCAAAGGTGACAGATCATTTGCTGCTGTGGCCCCCAGACTCTGGACCTCTCTCCCCCTGAGCCTGAGATCAGTGGACTCAGTGGTCTCCTTTAAAAAGCAGCTGAAGACTCACTTGTTCAAGCTGGCTTTTGTATGACCTTCTTCACCTCTCTCTCTTTATTCTGCTCTCCCCACCTATTCCACCTTCCTCAGGATCCACTGATTTCCCTCTTTCCTGTTCTCTCTCTCTTTCTTAACATTTTTTTTATCACAATTGTCTATTTTTGCTCATTTTAAATATATTTTTAACATTTTCTAAATATTTTTTTTATATTTTTACATTTTTTTTATGAAGCGCCTCGTGATTTTTATCTTGAGAGGCGCTATAGAAATGATATTTTCTTCTTCTTCTTCCTCTTCTTCTTCTTCTTCTTCTTCTTCTTCTTCATAATTACTTAGGAAAATCCAGTTAATGAGGAAGGAAACTGCTACAGATGTGATAAAGGTATGAGGTCTGCTTCATACTTCTCCCTGTGTGTGTGTGTGTGTGTGTGTGTGTGTGTGTGTGTGTACCTGTCCAGCTCCTGGCATGTACAGGTGAGCTCCAGTCACTCCAGTGTCCGTCATCAGCTTCTCTGATCCGGAGCTGAATCAGATAGTCGACACCAGACAGGACATTAGTGATGACGTAGGAGGTTTTGCTTCTGATCATAGATACCTGTACGGACGCACAGAGAAGGAATAAAATAATCCTCATCGTCTGAAACGACAGATTATTAAATGTTGTTTAGAATCCTAACTCACCTGATCATTAACGGATGTCGCGGGTCGATATCTGATCTCATAAATGATGTCATAGCAGTTGCATTGGTGCTTCCAGGTTGGTGGTAAGTTCCAGGTGACCTTTATCACCTTCTCCTGCCGTTCCTCCTGGTGGGCTGTCACATCAGAGGGGGGGTCAGGCTTCACTGGAGGAGAGAGAGCGTAGCTTCAGGTCAACGGGGATCTCCGCGTGTGTAGGAAACGTTCCCGCTTACTGAAGTTCAGAGGTGTGAATTTGATGGCGTTGCTGGTGTCGTTTCCCGTGATGCTCGTCACACACAGGAGGGCAGAATGTGTGGTCCTCAACTCGCTCTGGTTGTGCTCCAGAGCGCACCAGCAGAGGGACCGCTGAGACGAGTAGGAACAGGGAACCTGGTGGAAGTTGTGCGTCTCACTGAGGGAATAAAAGATGATTAAATAACTCGCGCTAACTTATTTTAGCAGTTTTTTAAAGTCATGGAGTCGAATCTGAAACTTGCTTCCAGGTGTGGAAGTTTTCTTTATCCGGTGGTTTAATGTTTTTTGCACGTCACAAGAGACCTTGAGTTCTGGAAGGCGCTTACAAATAAAATGTTTTATTATGGGATTTATGTAAGCAGCTCAGTGGCAGAGTTGTAAATCAGCGCTCTCCAACACACCTGGAGGTCGCTCACCTGGAAGCAGCCAGTGAGCCATCCTGTCTGACTTGTAATTAACGAGGGGCGGAGTTTTAATTGGTTGGCAAGCCGTCAGTTTTCTGTAATATCTAATCTAAAATGAATTTAGTGGAATTAAGATAAAAATCAGATTATTTCTCAAAATTTTTGGCTGTCATGTTTTGCTGGAAATACGCGGATGAGTCGCTCAGGTTGCAGCACGGATACCTGTTTCTGATCTGAGCAGCTGCAGGTGGATGAAGGCGTCGGTTATGCAGACCAGGGGTCTCATTTATCAAACATGGCGTAGAATCCTTACTAAAATGTACTTAAGCTCAGCAAAACAAAAGCACTTACGCCAAGCAGGTTTGTGATCTATCCAACATGGAGGACGCACAGCTGCACGCAATCTCCGCTTCATAAATCAGAGACTAACGAGAAAGTTTCTCAGCTGCATTTTAGTCACATCCCGCCCTCGCCACGCCCACTTACTGCCATAAATGGTCAATGCGAAGGGCCTTGTGGATCTCATGCATGTACATAAGCCGGCTTGTTGCAGCATTTCGGTCACGGCCGCAGATCAAAGAAGCACCATTTCCCAAGCAGAAGTTGAGGTACCTGTGGGTGAGGTGGAGAAATGAAAGGAAGTGCTTTTGCAAAACAAATAGGAGAAAATCCGCGGAGTGGCACAGCGTTGCTGAAGCCGTCAATGCTGAGTTCTTCAGAGAGATCTGTGGCGTATATAAAAAAAATGATCCGATCAGGATTCGATCCCCAGACTCCCGGGTGAAAGTCACGTGCGCTAACCAGTCACCCAAACGGAGATCTCCCTAGTCCAAGTAGCCAGGGCGCATCATCAATCGGGTCACAGTGACAGGACACACACCGTCACAGACGCATGACATTCTGTCTCAATCTGTCCCCCTGTCCATATTCTGCGCTTCAGGCTGTGTGTGTGTGTGCTTGTGTGTGTGTGTGTGTGTGCGTGTGTGTGTGTGTGTGTGGGGGGGGGTCTTGTTCTGTGTGAAAACGAAGCGGTACAAGTGATAATCAGTGTGTTTACATGCAGCCAGTAACCCTTTTAAAACCCGAATATTCACAATAACCTGGTTCCGCAGGTCCTTGTAAACACCGCCAAAAACCCGGATTTGCTCATAACCGGGTTTTTAAAAACCCGGTTACTACACCTGGGGTAACCCTTTTCTAACCCGAATGTTTGGTCGTGTAAACGGGGCTGCATGGTGGCGCAGTGGTTAGCATTGTTAACTCGCAACACGAAGGTCGCAGGTTCGAAACTCGGCTGCGGCCTTTCTGCGTGGAGTTGCGTGTTCTCCCCATGCATGCGTGGGTTTTCTCCGGGTACTCCGGTTTCCCCCACAGATCACAACATGCCCTATAGGTAAAAAAATAAAATAAAATTGTAAGTCGCTTTGGGTAAAAGCGTCTGCTAAGCACATAAACGCATACCGGGATATCTCCATCAAAGCGTGTGTTCTGCGCATGCTCTGTTCGCAAGGAATCTTGGTCTTTTGAGTAGCGAGACGTCTTGTATGCGCCAGAACACCGGAAGTAAACAACAAGTTGGGAGCAACATGGCGAATCGCGGCACAGCACCACACTTTTGGAGTGACGAGGAAACTAAAGCGCAAAGAAACGCGGTCGCTACCTCTTCCGAACTGGGAAACATGTTGTTGTTTTCACGGATACCGGAACAAGAAGAACCGGAAATGAGGCATATTGCGTCTGGACGTAGTCCATACGTCCTGACGCTACTCCAACGTCTGCATTTACATCGGGTTATGCAAGTTAGGGGTAACTCTTTCTATTTATGCTTGTAAACGGGTTATTCTGATCAACTCAGAAACCCGAATACCGACCTTAACCCGATCATAACTCGGATGTTGGCTGCATGTAAACGTAGTCACTGCTGCAGGATTTCATAATTGTATCTCCTCAGCAGCAGCACTGCAGGTGCTCTCCATGTCCAACATGTGTGTAAGCCAGGTCCTTAGTCAACTTAAAGTTGTGCACATTTTCCGCTGTTTTCTTTCATAAATCCCAAAGTTTGCGTGGAAAGTTGTTTACGCAGTTTTCCGACGCCGTTTTGTGCGTTAGCAAGCTTGATAAATGAGGCCCCTGGGTTTCAGCCGTAAAACGCGTTCAGAAAGAAAACGTGTGACGTGACTGGATGCAATCTTTGATTTTTGTGCTTTTTACTTTATTTAATTTCATAGAATTTAGTTTAATTGCGGTTTCATACATTTATTCGGCTCCTCCGTTGATTATATTTAAAAGAGCCGTTTTTTTCTTAAGTTTGACAAGAAGACGTGTCTTCATCAGCGATCCGGAGACGTATGTGAATCCTTACCCTTTACTCAGAAGGAGGTAACAGCTGGGAACCTTTGCGACGGGCTTCAGGGGCCTCCACTCACACTGGATTTTACTTTCGGGGGACTTTTTGTAGCAGGACAGACTCGGTTTCTCTGGAGGATCTAAAAGACACGAACAGAAATTTATTTTAGTTAACCTCACTCAGTCATTTTGACTCCCTGTAAGCACACGATGATGCAAATGTGTTAATTGTAATGCACCTGCAACAGCTACTTCAACAGCAAAGGCCTCTCTCCCTCGGTGGTGACACGTGTAATTCCCTGCATCCGTCAGTCTCACTGACTCCAGAGTCAGAGCCGCCCCGTGACCCAGAAATGTGACCTTTCCCCTGTTTGTGTCCCCTCCCTGCACCAGCTGTTCAGTCCGCTTCCACTGAGGTCTCAGTTTAAAGCCTCTTGTTACTCTGCTGCCTTCCTCTTCATCACTTTCCATCTCTTTGTCCTCCCATCCACCCATCGTTGTTGTGCTGGTGGAGGCTGGTTGGACCGTGAGAGGGGAGGCGGTGCGTCTGTCTGGCTCTAAGCTGACTCCGGTCTCCGCCGTGGGAGAAAAGATCCTCTCATTTACTGGATTCTGCAGAGAAGTCTGGTTTTTAGTCCGGACTGCGGCGTTTCCGGCCGCTTTCTTAGTGGCCGTGTCTCTGACTGGAGCCGGCCTTCTTTTGTTGATGTTTGACCCGTTCAGGACGACCTTTGCTCCGTCCACCCACACATGGCCGCTACAGGTTAGGACCAGTCTACTTCCTGGAGAAATAACCACCACACCAGGAGGAGGGTCTGTGAAGAAAGACAAACAGATGTTTTATAGGAGTTTGCATGCAGAGCATGTTTTTGGGACGGAAGGCTTCGGTGTTGGTCACAGTTGAATCTGCACAGATGCAGCGTTGCACGACCAGAATTACCCATTTCTTTAATACTTCCTCTTTTGATACGTCCCTCTGCTGTCACAGTTTCTCCTCCACCCGAAACTGTTCTCTCCCGGTGTCGCCTCACATTTATTTACTTAACTAGTCCCCCTGACTCTTCTACACTCTTGGATTTTGTGCAGAACTCAAAACCTGCCTTATTTTTTATGTTTACTTATTTTTTCTGCCTCTCGTTTAAATTTAAAACTGTCAGAAAACTTTGCTTTTAAATTTTAAAAACATTTTGTTTCCATTTCACATAAAATATCGACTAAATCAGACAGAAAACAGGACAGCACCTCCACACCAACAACTTCTTGTTCTTTTATTTTCAAACTGAGTTTTGCTTTTACTGTTCTTGAATAAATTTATGCTCTAAATGTTTTTGAGACTCAGAATTTTGAGAAAGATTCGCCAAACAAACAGCACGTTAAAAATGTCGTCTGTTTGACCTGAAAGAAATGACATAAATCAATAGATTAAAGCAAAGATGCAAAGTAAACTTTAGATTTTCATCTAGTTTTATTTGCTTTTTCAAAGTTAAATAACTGAAAATGTCAGAAATACTAATAAAATCATGACTAAAATCATGTTTTAGATCATAACAATTGTTGCACTCTGAATCAGAAAAAGGGACTTTATTCAGTTTATTGTGTTTACATGTAATCAGGCTAAAACCAGTTTGTATCTGGTACGTTTAGTTTTGCTCAAACTCGGTTAAGAAAATAAAAAATGAAGGTTTAATTAGGTTTCTCACCTTTTCTGGGACACTTTACATCAATAAAGCTGCAAACGGGCACAGCACAGAGAACACACAGCCAAAGGTGAGAAGTCAGCATTGTTTTTGTCTCTTCCTGCCAGTAGTCTTCTCTTTTAGAAAGCCAAACCGTTGGCTGAAACATCCCAACAGCAACGGCTGCAGAAAGCTCTCCTCCAGCAGGCTGACGGGGAAACCACCTGCCTTCCACCACAGGCCGGACAAATAAAGCCGAGATCCTCTGGACGCAGCAGTGAGCTGACGCGAGACCCGTTATTGTGAAATCCCAAAGCTCTTCCCCCAGTTCAGCGCCGTTACACAGAGGAAATCCTCCTCAGCGCCAAAATAAACCCCCTCAACCCCGTTTACCACCGACTAGAGGCGGTCACACGTTCATAAAGACATTTAACGTTATTTAATCGTGTTTTTTGATCTAAAAATGTTGCTGACATCAGCTTGATGAGTCAGATTGAGTCTAACTTCCACATCAGCCCGTTGTCGTTTCTGTCTTTGAATGTGACTGCTGCATGAACCATGCTTGCATAAACGCTGTGCTCCAGGTGAAGACGTGCTTTTTATGTCAACACCATAAGACGACTTCAGCAAGAGCGGATCTCTGCCAAACTGAAGGAACCAGAGGGAAGTTCATGGCTCTTCACATTCTAACATGGCATAGCGATAAATATGTTGTGGAGATAAACAAATAAAAATTAATAAAAGGGTTCTCTCGTGTTTAAAAACCTCCACCAATAACACGTTTCAGGCTAAAAGCAACGATTGGACCATCCGGTTGTTGGTCTCTCCGAACCGCCGCACTTCCCTGGGTCCTCCACCCGTCACACACTCACGTCTGAGAGGTTCTCCACTCAGTCATGTCAGAAGGACAAACGGCCGTCGGCTACAAGGAACGGCAGCAGCTCAGGAGCTAGAGTGGGTTGTCCAGATAACGTTTCAGGCCTCGCCTCTGTCAGTGCGCCCCGGGGCAGTTGTGGCTCCATCGTAGCTCGTCACCACCGGCGTGTGAATGTGTGGTTGACTGGTTGTGTTGTGAAGCGCTTTGTGGGGTTTGTAAAAGGCGCTATACAAATACTCACTGTGGCTGCAGAAGGAGAAAGGAGACTTTGGGAAGATGGGAGTGTTATACATTAAAAGACTAGAAGTTGATATCTATGGGATGAGAAAGAATAACCGCAAATCTGTTTGAATTGCCGATGCACCGAAGTAAGTCAGTATTCAAATTCAAATTCAGAGATACTTTATTAATCCCAGAGGGGAATTAGAGTTTCAGTACACACAATTCAGAGATCAGACATATGTACAGACATAGACACATGACAAGAAAAGGTGACTGTGGTCATTCGCAACCCGAGTCGCGCTACCGTAATAGAGATCAGAGGGTTTACATGAGGATTGGTTAAGGTGGAGGAAAAAAAGGCACTTCAGAGCTACCCTCCACAGGGAGGGCAGCTTTGCTATGCAAAAAACACCTCAGACAGATATGCGGCAGACTTCAGACATCACACAACATAAGTGTCCACTAGGTGGGGTGGTGGGTTTTAGGACTCTCCTCACGTCAGCAGCAGCCGCGATAAGCAGCGCTCTTCACCTCAGTCTGGACAGGGGGAGGAGGTTGTTGGGTTTAGACGGCAGTGACTCCTGGAACGATTCAGTGGCCTTCACAGCTCGCAGTCCCGCCCAGGCCGGGATAGGGAGACAGAGTTGCCACGGCGACGGCAGCATTCCACATTCCTTCTGAGGGGGAGTATTTGTTGCAGCCTCACAGGCTCAAGGGCACCAGATTCAGATAAGAACTTGTTTTGGGGCCAGACAGGGATCATTTCTTCTCTGTCTTAGACCCTTTTCAGATTGATATTCTGGAATATGTGTGGACAATTCAATCCTTTTTTTAACCAGAACTGTGTTTTCAGACGCACCACTTTTGTACCTGAACTTGTCCTTTCGGCTGCCTTCACACAGCAGGGAAAAGTTCCAGATGTCTGGGGGGGAGGCTGTACCCAGATAGTGCGGCGGGCGTACATGCGTCATTTACCCAAACAAGACTATTCAGTCAAACATGGCAGAAAAGATATAATTCCTCTCACTGATCGGACTTATGTTAAGCATAATTCTGCGCACACGAAGACGCATCAGAGACCTGGATGATGAAGCTCAATGGTTAAAGGAATCATGGAAGCGGTGTGAAGCGCTCCGTCGCGCGTCTAGGCGGTACCGTAGGAGGCGAGCTGCCATGGTTCGCCGCATGCTACAGGAGCGAGCTATCTAGGTGCGCACAGCGTCCCCCGGTCCCCTCCTCCTCCCTCTCCTCCCTTTCCGGAACTCGACCTCACCAGTCGCTTTGGATAAAAGCGTCTTCTAAATAAATAAAAACATAAACATAAACAGTCCGAAGCAGCCACCCTGTCCGTGACAAGTCCGGACCTGTTACTAGGGGCTTTGTCCGGTTTAATTACGGAAAAGGTTATCCGGATGTTTGTATTCAGACACAAAGGTCTTAAGGACAGAGTCCCGAACATTTCCATTTTTCATGGCCTGTCTGAAGGGGGCTTTAGAGTTCCGCTGGTCCTCAACCTCTCAAAATCCAATAATGGCGTAGATTAATCTATCCCAATCCGTGCTGATTCGTCCCCTCGCTCCTTGATCGCATCCATCTTTTGTACCAACGCATGAATCTCAGCCAAAGTTCCAAGTTTACGACTCATCTCGACAATTATATGAGTCTGTGCGTTCACAGCGCGGTGCAATCCGTCTCTGAGCTCCGGGAGTGAGCCAATATTCCTCGACAGCTCGTTAATTTTCTGGTAAGCCAGGTAACCTCCAAGGCCAAAGAGCAGGAAACCTGACACCAACACCACGAATGTCCAGACGTCTTCCGAATCCTCTACAGACAGCTGAGATAAGCAGATCAGCTTCCACTGTTTCCAGGAGTCCATGATGTGCCCAGCTGGCTCTGTCCCAGAGTGGCATCCGGGAGCCCCTTCTCCCGTTCTCATCGTTGAAAAAATTTCATCGATCGCGTTGAGAGACCAACTGACCAGGTCCATTTTTAATCATTTCCAGTTTCCAGAAAAAATGTAGAAGCTGCGTACACCCAAGGACAGACAAAGAGCCTTGGGGATGAGATAAGGGAGGAGAGGAGGAAAAAAGCGTCTGTACTCCCAAGAGCCGGAAGAAACAAGATGATGTGTAACCGGAAATACGGGAACAGATGTAAAGATGTTAGTTTTCCTCGCCTCAATAGTTCTATGTGTCAAATACACTGAAAATCAATACAGAGAAAGTAAAAAAACAAACAAACAAAAAAAAGAAACAAGTTTGAAATCAAACGTTTGGACCTAGAAAACAGTGACTGGTGTTTAGCGCCATCTCGTTTCCTCTGGCATCATGGGTCTCCAATTCCGGTAGAAGCATCTCTGGGAACATGCCCGAGGGGAAGGGTGAGTGTTCCCTGACTGTTTGCGTTCAAAAGCTAGCTTGTTCTGTGGTTCGCTTTAGCACCTTTGACCTCAATATTTGGAAAGCTGAGTTCAGTTCCACTAACTGCTTCCAGAGCTGTAGAATAAACAAAGCACCTCAGTAACATTTGTCCAACAACATAAATGGGCCAAAATATCTCAAAAAGGAACAGAATCAGAACAAAAACAACAACCCTGAGAAACATTTAAAGCACTGCGGGCCACAGTGAGTTAATGTTAAGTTCAAAGGTCAAGGGGCAACAAATGGTCAATGTGGGTAGTGATCCAAAACCTCAGCGGACCGAAAACAACCTAAAGGCTCATCCTACTTTAATCAAGAACATCTTGATGATCCTCAGAACATTTATGGAAATATTCCTGACAAAAAAAAATCAAGTGTGTGTGTGTGTGTGTGTGTGTGTGTGTCCAGTTACATCTGGTGTCTAACTGCATTTCAGGAAAAACATCCTCATACTAACAGTCAAACATGGTGGTGGTGGTGTGATGGTCGGGTTTGCTTAAGGGGCTGGACCACATGATGTCATTGATGGAAATTTTTCTTTACAAAAACACGTGAATATTGGACCTTTGACCTTAAACAGCCCATTGATGCAGGAAAAACCGTCCAATATGGCTGAATTAACTCCGTCCTCAAAGAAAAGAGGAACAAGGTTCCTCTGCGGAGAGTCGTTTTCTCAGTCATTACGTTTTCCACACTGAGCCAGGTTGGTTTGGTAAGCTTTAGAAATGAAACTTGTTTGATGACCTGAATGTGACAAAAAAAGCAGAATCAAAGAAAAGAAGTGGGTAAATATTCATGAAAACCACTGCATGCATGAAAAATCCAACTTAAACGATAAACATCCCAGAAATAAGAAGTTTTGCTTCATTAAAACCAGATAATTCAGCAACACCTGCCCTTCTGTCCAAAAGTAAAGCTGCTTTCATTTAACGGCAACTCGATCGAGGTCTGACTAGAAATAGACAGGTTCCTCCGTCCATTCTTTTATTTTTCAAGTTGCATTAAAACGACCCGACGCTTGCCAGACCACAGCAAAGGCTGAAGTTCCAAATGAAAGCACTGAAAGCTTCATTCTAGCAACTTTAAACATCAATGTGATGCAAAAGTAGCTACGGGACGATCGGGACAGACGTGTCAGCGGTTTTCGGTAAAGCCAACGGCGTTCTCATCGAGAACTTTAACAGAGAAAACGCACCTCACCACTTCCCTGCTTACGTTTACTCGTTAGGATCATGAGCTAAGGTGCAGAAAGGACTCGTAGCTGATTAAAAGCTCTTTATTTGTTTCCCTATCTGCTATTTCTGTGCTACAGCTGAGCGTACATTTCAGGGGTTAATTACGTGACCAAAAATAAAATTTAACATTGAGACGAGGAACTCCGTCACTGGAATGAGCTGCTTCCTCTTGTTCTAGTGCGCTGTGGTTTGAATTTAGCTCAGTCTCTGTCCACAGTCCATTCTGTTGGTGTGAAAAGATCTAATAACAAGTGCTGGATTCATCCGTCTGATGCTTTTACACGAGCTGGCTGGTTTACATGGCAGCACACGGTGAGTCCTGGCTGTTGGATGCACCGACGCAGGTCAGAACACCCTTCCGACCAAACAGAGCTTCCTATCGAGGAGAGAGAACGGAACAGTGAGTGCAGCTCCACAGCGGATGAAACAAAGTGTTTTTATTGGTTGGTGCAATTCAGAGTGTCTGACCTGCACCGACCCCAGAGAGAGAGTCCAGCCGCCGGGTGAGTCCATCCCTTGGGATTTCGCTGAAGCAGCAGCGGGATTATCGGCAGAAGCTGACTCTGAAGCTGCTGTTTGGGTGACTTGTATGTTCTGACACGGCACTGTGACGATTTCCTCATCGATCTGTGTTTCTTGTGAGCCGCCCAGAACAGAAGAAGAGTTCGACAGTGGTTGAACCAATCCAGATGTGTTACTGGGCGCTGGGCTGCAATCTCCAGAGGAGCTGGGGGGAGTATTCTTCCTGCGGAGCGTTTCGATCCAGCTCGAGCTGTGTCTGGAGGCAAAGCTGGCCAGGCCCAGAGAGGAGAGTCTCATGTTTTTTCCTGAAGTGATGAGCTCTCCAAAGCCTTCTTGGTGAGCAAAGGCGTAGCCAGACCTGGAGCCACCACGAGCACCGAGGCGACTCTCTGAGATGCTTCCAGCACCCCGCCAAGGACCTCCAATACCAAGACCTGCTGGTTTCCGTCTCTTCTGCCGCACCAGTTGACTGTAGCGAACCTGAAGACGCACAAAATCCAGGAGAATGGACGTTTAGAAATAAGGCCCCTTTACTGGGACTGTTCACAAGTCAGTTTCAAGTCAGTATGAAGGAAAATGGTGGTTCAGTCTCAGTGATTTAGACTTGGGTAACATTTAGAAAAAACTTCTCCGTCGACTGTAGAATGGACCTGAACACGATGCGTTGCTTTTTGAGATCTTTTAACTTATTTCATGCTGTCAGGTTCTATTCAAGAGATGTCCTGATTCTTCAGGTCTGGATGTGTGTGTGTGTGTGTGTGTGTGTGTGTGTGTGTGTGTGTGTGTGTGTGTGTGTGTGTGTGTGTGTGTGTGTGTGTGTGTGTGTGTGTGTGTGTGTGGCACAGGGAGTGTGGAGCCATGCTCGGTTGGACCAGACCACAAGCCATGGATCTACCTGGCATTCGTTCAAAGTCGGGACATTCCCAGTACATCCTGGAATGTGTGTGGTGCTCCAACATTCTTCTTCGGAGTTTTCTTATCCTACAAGGATGTTAGCAATCACTCAGGCTAGCGTTAGCATTAATTTGAGCTAGTGTTAGGGTGTTTCTCAACGCCAAGGTGCCTTGCTTACGAGGACACGGTCCTTCCTTGGTCAAGGAAAACGGTTAAATGTAACAGACTTGCATCACGTGACCGCAGCTTCCACCGCGGTCACTTAACATCACGTGACACGTGAGATAACGTTATATTTTATATGTATTAGTTTTATTATAAATATATAACGAGACTTTTACTTTTTAAATTGTGTATATGTTTATTAAATTACAAATATAAGTGAGTTACTACCCGCTAGCCACCGAAGCTGCAACTACTAAGCAGCTAACCAACCATAGATAAATTCTTTGGATCTAAAAAAAACATTTTAAATTAGCTGACTTACGTTTAAACTTGAAATTTGTCCCCAAAGTAGCTGCCGGCTTCTGATCCGCAGTCCTTTAAAGATACCGCGGTGTATTATGGGTAATTTTTGATCAAGGCTAGGCTACAAGACACCTCCCGTGTGTCCTTGCAAAGCTAGCTAAACGGCTAACAAAACGGAAAACACACGCCTCTGTAGAACATGAACATTGGAACACGTCTTGGTGTCTCCTGATGACATATCTCCTAGGCAACGGGGGCGGTGCCAAGACATCAAGGCAAGGTTCCTTGGCATTGAGAAACACCCATAGTCTTTCCAGAGTACAGTGATCCCTCGTTTATCGCGGTAGATGCGTTCCAGACCTGGCCGCGATAGGTGAAAATCCGCGAAGTAGGGACTCCGTATTTACAGTACAGTGTCAGAACCCAAATTCCCAGACCAGCCTCTTACAGCTAGCCGGCCTCCACTAAGGACCACAACTCCCCCTCGCGGGGATTCCCTCCACGTCGCACCTACGTCACAAACCGCGGCTATAAACGGAAGTCGCTTTTCCAGCTCACCACTCAGTCATCGTTTCTTCAGATTCATGATCAGTTTCCAACCTACCGATCCATCCCACGAACTATCAGCTCATAGTAAGTTATCTTACTTACTTCTGGAAAGCCCGGCAATTCCGTGTCACTTCGTTGACGCTTGAACGCTCTGGGGTTTCCTAGATTAATCGTGAGCCGGCGTTTCACCGACGCTATCACTTCCGCGTCTGTGAAACCACGCGCTCCCTACAAGCTCAACTCCCGAATCCAGCCGACCAGTCTGACATACAGTACTATATTGAATTATCGTATGATCACATTCTCTTTTTGTGGGTAAAACTCAAGAAAAAAAATTTTTTTTACTTGTTTTTTTATAGTTTTATTACAAAAAGTGCATTTTATGATGAAATTTATGAAAAAAAAAAACAGGAATTTCTTAATATTTCGCATAGAAAAATGCTGCGGATTGGCGAATTTCCCTTGAATAAGGCTCCAAAAAAATCTGCGAAGTCGTGAATCGATAAACAAACCGCAAAGTAGCGAGGGATCACTGTAGTTCTCTTATCCGATGGCACCATCTAGTGGCTGTCAAGCATATCACAGAAGAAGTCTGTCGCTCTGTTTTTTAAGATGGCGACTTCACGTTTCTGTTCATAAATGTGCTTCTGTAGCCAACAAACAGCTAAAACACGTTGTTTTATGAGTATTATTCTCATGTCATGTTGTGTTCTCATTTATTTATATTTTATAGACTTGTCTGACATGTTAAAGGATGTGTGTTTATGCTAACGGAGTTAAACTAGCTTTTGTCAGACGGAACTGTTTCACTGTGGCATTTTCAGACTTTTAAGTCAACATTTGTGGGGCAGATATATTGCACAGTAACTGAGCCTCACCACACACACACACACACACACACACACACACACACACACACACACACACACACACACACACACACACACACACACACACACACACACACACACACACACACACACACACACACACACACACACACACACACACACACACACAAAGAGTTTTTACGTTGATAATTAGCTGGAAATACAGATGCACATTGCAACAGAGACACACAGGTGTGTTCTCACCGTGTCTGAGAGCTGAGGCTTGAGGTCCAGCTTGAGGAAACGGAAGGCCAAAACTGGAACTATGCAGATTGCTGTTGCTAGTGCAATAGTGAGCCACACCACCGGCTGCAGTAATGTGCTCTGGGCACAACCTGTACCCAAAGATGGACACAAACAGGCATGTAGTTTTGATGTGTTACAGGTAGAGGTAAGATTCTTTACCTGCATGAACACAAGGCAGAAGTGAAGTGCTTTTGAGTCTGAGTGGCAAGAATGGCCAGGAACCCACCTACAAAGTGGAACTGTTTGGGAAAGATCCTGAAGAGCGTTTGGCTGTGCAACGCTAACATGATGGTGAAATACAAACCCAGAGAGCCCCACACGAACACGTGGTTTATAACTGTCCAGAAGCCTGTGTCAAGAGCAATCTGCAGAACCAAACAGGCGTTAAATAGACAACAGGGAGTCGGTACCTAAATATTACAGCATGATTCCAGTCAGTCCAGCTTACCAACCTGCACACTGACCACTATAACCAGAGCCGTTGCTGTCGTGGCTGCAAATGTCTGGTAATCTGCAAGTGGCACGCCGGTGCTCTGCGTCGCGTTCGACAGAACAGCGTAGGGCATGAAAAAAAGCACCACGGACGTGTAGATGCCCTGAGCGATGCAGATGAAGAACTCTTTCTTGTTGAAGAGCAGGTTGAGCTGGCCGGGCTCATAAAGCTTAGGGCATTCGAGACTTCTGTGATCTGGAACGTCCTATTCAGAGTAAAAAGGGGGAAATGAGAGACCTCGTTGGCTAAAATAAAACTCCAGACGTACCAGAGCCAGACTAAGTGGTTTGGTGGTTTAAGCTTAATGCAAACGCAAGCACAGAACAGAAGCATTACTCACGACCATTACCCACAGGAGGAGACGGATTATGTTTTCAAAAGGGTTGGCATCGATGCACAAGCAACATAACAGAAATCATGACATTGCCACAACACTTACAAACATGCTAGTATGAAATGTGAACGTAAAAATTAAATAGAATAATGCAGAACGTGGGTTCAGGGTAAAGTATTAAAAAGAAAGACCTGGTCGAATATCCCCATGGCCAGCACAGGAAGGGAGGTGTACACTATGTTGTAGAGCGTGATGAAGAACTGATCATACACCGTCTACAACAGACAAACGGTGAAAAACACGGTCGTGATGCCCTCCTGATGCTTAACTGCCCCCCAACCACCTTACCTGGGCTGAGAAGCCGCAGAAGAAGCCAAACCAGAAGTGCACCATGGTGAAGGCAAAGTTCTTGTAGAAGAAGTAGCAGAGGAAGCGGCACATGCGAAGGTAGGACCAGCGGCCATGCACCAGCAGCAGGCGCTGCAGGAAGCGGAACTGGGCGAAGGAGTAATCGCTGGCCAGCACAGCCTGGATGCCCTCCTGACCAGAGATGCCGACTCCGATGTGAGCGCCTGGAAGACAGGAGGCATGGAGGGAGAGAAAGATAAATGCACTGAACAAAAGTTTAAATGCAACACTTTTGTTTTTGCTCCCATTTTTCATGAGATGGACTTAAAGATCTAAAATTCATTCCAGATACACAACATCACCATTTCTTTCAAACATTGTTCACAAATCAGTCTAAATGTGTGATAGTGAGCACCTGTGCTTTGCTGAGATAATCCATCCCACCTCACAGGTGTGCCACATCAAGATGCTGATCTGACATGAGTAGTGCACAGGTGTACCTTATATTGCCCACAATAAAAGGCCACCCTGGAATGTGCAGTTTTTTTGCTTTATTGGGGGTCTGGGGACTCAGAATCGGTCAGTATCTGGTGTGACCACCATTTGCCTCATGCGGTGCAACACATCTTCTTCGCATAGAGTTTATCAGATTGTTAACTGTGGCCTGTGGAATGTTGGTCCACTCCTCTTCAATGGCTGTGCGAAGTTGTTGGATATTAGTGGGAACTGGTACACTCTGTCATATACGCCGGTCAAGCACATCCCAAACATGCTCAACGGGTGACGTGTCCGGTGAGTATGCTGGCCATGCAAGAACTGGGACATTTTCATCTTCCAAGAATTGTGTACAGATCCTTGCAACATGGGGCCGTGCATTATCTTGCTGAAACATGAGGTGATGTTCATGGATGTACGGCACAACAATGGGCCTCAGGATCTCATCACAGTATCTGTGCATTCAAAATGCCATCAATAAAATGCACCTGTGTTCTTCGTCCATAACAGATGCCGCCCCATACCATAACCCCACCACCACCATGGGCCACTCGATCCACAACACTGACATCAGCAAAGCGCTCACCCACATGATGCCACACACGCTGTCTGCCATCTGCCCTGAACAATGTAAACCTTCATCCATGAAGAGAACACCTCCAATGTGCCAGATGCCATCGAATGTGAGCATTTGCCCACTCAAGTCTGTTACGGCGACGAGCTGGAGTCAGGTCAAGACCCCGATGAGGTCGACGAGCATGCAGTTGAGCTCCCCTGAGACGGTTTCTGACAGTTTGTGCAGAAATTGTTTGGTTATGCAAACCAATTGTTTCAGCAGCTGTCTGAGTGGCTCGTCTCAGACGATCTTGGAGGTGAACCTGCTGGACGTGGAGGTCCTGGGCTGGTGTGGTTACACGTCGTCTGCAGTTGTGAGGCCGGTTGGATGTACTGCCGTATTCTCTGAAATGCCTTTGGAGACGGCTTATGGTGGAGAAATGAACATTCAATGCACGAGCAACAGATCTGGTTGACATTCCTGCTGTCAGCATGCCAATTGTACACTCCCTCAATGCTTGTGGCATCTGTGGCATTTTGCTGTGAGACAAACTGCACATTCCAGGGTGGCCTTTTATTGTGGGCAGTACTCATGATGCCAGATTAGCATCTTGATGTGGCACACCTGTGAGGTGGGATGGATTATCTCAGCAAAGCACAGGTGTTCACTATCACATATTTAGACTGATTTGTGAACAATGTCTGAGAGAAATGGTAATATTGTAGCCTAGTGAACTAGACCAAATTCTTGCTTTGCAAAGAATGGTCTAGGCATGCTCCATTGGAACCTCAGCAGCTCCTACCAGGACTCTGGCTAGCCAATCACAGCTCTCTAGAGGGGTTTCAAACACATAAAGAGCTGTGATTGGTCCATAATGGTGGGCCAATCATAGTGCTCTATCTGCTTAGTGAACAAATCACAGAGCTTTATCCGCTTTGTGGGCCAATCAGGGCCCTCTATATGCCTGGTGGGTGGGATGATGCAACAGAGTGAAACAAGAGTTTGTCACATTCATTGTCCAGTGGAATGTGGAGATCATTTGAAAGACAACGGTAGAACCCGCCCCACAACCGAGAGCCGTCAATGGAGCGTGGCCAGACTAACTAATACATTTATTTAGTCTGGCTTGCCAGGCTAGTAATATTGTGTATCTGGAATGAATTTTAGATCTTTAAGTCCATCTCCTGAAAAATGGGAGCAAAAACAAAAGTGCTGCGTTTATATTTTTGTTCAGTGTAGAAGTCAAACTAAACTTGGAAAACTGGAGATTTACTTCAGCCCCATGGTGTATATTGGTAAGATTATTTCGAATAATGACAGTAAAGATGAATATCAGGTGGATTCCTCAAGGATCCTAGTGTCTTAATCCAGAGTGGAGGTAAGATGGAGGGAGGGACGAACCAGTGGTGACATGAAAGTGCTGCTCTAGTCTGTTGTGGTGAAGAAAGAGACGGGTAAAAACATCAAACTCGTGGATTATTGGTTCATCTATGTCTCAATGCTCACCTGAACTCATGGGATTTGGATTGTGACCAAAGTAAACAAAGTCCCAAATACAAGCACCTGAAATGATCTCAGGGTGACCAAAGAGATGTTAAGGCACTCCGAGTGGAGCCGCTGCTCCTCAGTAAAAGCTGCAACCTGAGGTGGTTCAGAAGAAGAAGAAAATATCATTTCTATAGCGCCTCTCAAGATAAAAATCACGAGGCGCTTAGGTATCAGGTATCTGATCAGGAGAGGTCGCCTCTCACTGGAAGCTTTCTGGACACCTCCCACAGAGAGAAGACCACGGAGCGGACACAGAACCTGCTGGAGGCACTAAATCTGCTTTGGACTGGGAATACTTTGGAATTCCCAGGAGGAGGATACAAGTATTGTTGGAAAGAAAGATGTCAGGGCTTCCCTCCTGGACCTGTCACCTCCATTACTCAACTTTTGATAGTTGATTTAATTGAACAATTTCTGAAAAACTGAGAACATCAAGTTCGATTTAATCCATAGCTGAGTAGGAAACTCGTGGACCAGAAGACGGCCATGTTGTGACTGCATCTGTCTGTTTTTACAGATTCCATCTGAGCAGTAATCAGGTTTCCCTCCTCCTTCAATCCCAGATGCACGACTCACTTTTGATCATGCTAACGTCGTTAGCGCCATCTCCTATGGCCAGAGTGACGGCCTTCTTGTGTTTCTTGATGAGCTCTACCACCTGGGCTTTTTGCAGCGGTGTAACTCTGCAGCATATAACTGCTTTGCACGCACACGCTGTCGACACAAACTCCACCTCCATGTCTGCTTCCAGTGCGTGAGCCTGCCAGAGGACAGGAAGGAGAGGTTAGAGCTGCGCTGACCAAACGTGTTAAAATGCTGGAGGTTTTTCTGCTGATGCAAAAACATGTCTGATCATTGAATTGTTTGCTTTGTGTGGATGTGAGTTTGTTCGTACCAAACTGTGACCGTTGATAATCAGACCAAACTCTCCAGAGATGTTGTCCATTAGGTATGTTGGAGGTAAAGGACAAGGGGAGCCCTGGAGCTGGTCATCTCCTGCCACACCATCTCCTTCTTGCCCTTCTCTAAATCCATTACCTGGGAAGCTTGCCTCGGCCCACCCCTCCATTCCTCCGTCTTTTCCTCTTTCCCGTGTAAGCTCGATCATCCTCTCTCTGACATTCCTGGAGGAAAGATGCACCTCATCAAGGACAAAACTAAACTGCCGTTAACTCATGACCATTTTAATTTTTTTGGACCAGTAAATTGTTTTTAATGCTCCCAGAACACTTGTGTAGTGTTGATGATTGACTACAAATTTATTAAAAATGACTAATAAGATGTGATAATTCCATATAAATATGAAATATCAATCTGATTGACCTTTGAATGTTTAAAGGGACTTTTCAGACTTTTGAATTTTTATGCTCACGATTGCCCCCTCGGGCCAAAAGCGTAACGGCAGCTTCAATAGTAGGCTCGTGCACGAGGTGCGCATGCTGTACGTGCACACTCCTTAACGAAAATAACAGCTGAGACAGTCCAGTGTGTGTGTGTGTGTGTGTGTGTGTGTGTGTGTGTGTGTGGCCCAGAGGACAGAGGACAGGAGAACACGCAGCTATTTAATTAAATAATGTGGTTCTGTAGCTTTCTCTTCAGCACAGCCGACAAAGGTTTATGATGGGTCAGTCCTCCTGCATGCTCAGATCATTCCCTTCCCTTGCTTGAAAAATTGTTCCAAAATGAAAGATGAACCCACATCTTTTTTATATGTGAATTCAACGCCGTTCGGCAAGTCTCAAATAAAAATTTGGGCGTCTTACTGTAAAAAAATATACCATTAATGTAAAAAAGAAACTCCAAAAGAATTATGTTCACATCCAGAATCAAACCCAGGTCTTCAGCAAGAGAGTCCGACGTCTTACTAGGTGAGCTAAAGTGCCAGTAACATCTTTTGTATCTGTAACATTTATATCCTTGATGACAGCTGAAACAACGTCAAACCAAAGAACGGTTCGGAGTGAAAATGGCTATTTTGTTGCTAATTAGCAGGAAATATCTAGAAGAAAGTTCTACAGAAAGTAGCTAAGGGTCCTCAGAAATGTAGCTAGCTTTGTCACTAGGCGTTAGGAACAGCGACAAAGTGGCACTGCCTCCCTCTCTGCTGCTAAAGCTACGGACAGCAAATGCTACGGGCGATGCCTGAGCGTGAACGCGCATGAAGCAGCCTGCTCGACCCGAGCATCTCTCTTTTTCTGTGATTTTACAGAAAAACAGGCAATCACAGTAAAAATGCCAGGGCTCATTCTACAGGACCAGGGCATTGCAGGAGAACGTATGAAGAAGACATTTATTATTTCTATACATGTTTTGGCTGTCAAACTTCCATAATGCCCCTTTAATCAGAATATTCTAGTTACTTATTCAGAGACCATAAACACACTTTGTATTAATCCAGAGTCAAGTATATAGTTTATAATGTAACATATAGTTTTAACTAATGATTATACAAGACAAGATATGAATGGAATGAAGCGGAAGAGTGGGATGGATGGGGTGATGTAATGGAACTAGATGTTTTAGCAGAACCGTTCTTAAGTGTCAGCGTTTGTAGAGTCTGGGTTGTAAAAGAATTTGGCGGTGTGTTTGCTAAAGATTTGTTTAAAAACCATCCGACGCCAGTGTGCAGCCTACAACACCCTTTTGTTTGTGTTGCTCCCGGCGGTCCGAGTGGTGAGTCACCGGACGTCGAGACCACAAGACTCAAAGATTAGTAGCTCAATTTGTCAGTTTGTTGGTGAAAATTTGACCACTTGGTACGTAGCGACTTGTGCCAAATTTGGTTTAAATGGATTTGTTCGATAGGAGTCATGTCCTTTTGAGTAAATGGTTATTTTTTGTTCCCCTTGTCACGGCTTCTTTGAAAAACATGAAACAAAACCTGTTTCCTCCCTCTTCTAATTGTCTGAGATGTTGAATGTTTTTTTAATCAGCTGTAAGCCATAATCATCACAATTATAATGGATAAAGGCTGAAATATCCGGATTAGCCTGGAATGAGTCTGTCTCATAGGTTAGTCCACCTTTTAGGTTGGATTACAGTAATCCCTCGCTACTTCGCGGTTCGTTCATTGCGGATTCGCTGCTTCGCGGATTTTTTCTTTGGAGCATTTTTCAGGGGGAATTTGCAGATTCGCGGTATTTTTCACTGATTCGCAGTATTTTTCTATGCGAAATATCAAGAAATTCTTGTTTTTTTCATAAATTTCATCATAAAATGCACTTTTTGTAATAAAACTAAAAAAAACAAACAAGTAAAAACAATTTTTTTCTTGAGTTTTACCCACAAAAAGAGAATGCGATCATACGATAATTCAGTATAGTACTGTATGTCAGACAGGTCAGCTGGATTCGGGAGTTGAGCTTGTAGGGAGCGTGGTTTCACAGACGCGGAAGTGAGAGCGTCGGTGAAACGCCGGCTGATCTAGGAAACCCCCGAGCGTTCGAGCGTCAACGAAGTGACACGGAAATGCCGGGCTTTCCAGAAGTAAGTAAGATAACTTACTATGAGCTGATAGTTCGTTGGATTGATCTGTAGGTTGGAAACTCTGATCATGAATCTGAAGAAACGATGACTGAGTGGTGAGCTGGAAAGGCGACTTCCGTTTAAGGCCGCGGTTTGTGACGTAGGTGCGACGTGGAGGCATAGGCGTCATTTTAACCGGGGACGCCGGGGACATGTCCCCGGCAAAATTTGTGATTGGCAGCTGTGTCCCCCCCACTTTCAAAAAATCCTGCTGATGAGGATTTTTGTTTTACCAGCTCAGATCTCATACCAGGGGTCGGCAACCTGTTCCCATCAAAGAGCCATTATTACCCGTTTCCCACAGTAATGAAAACACTGGGAGCCACAGCAGCGCAGCGTTGTGGGCGGGGCCTACCCTCAGACAGCAGAGAGCTGCTCACAACCAGGTGACAGCAGCCGGTACCATGGGCGTCGCATCCGTGGGGGATGCAACACCCACCCTTTTCCAGCTGTTTTGCTCACCTCCACACCTGTCTGGTTTCTTTAGGTCGCACTCTCTCTGTTTGCCTCATCTCCTTCTTCACCTCCGCTTCTGACAGCCGATGTCGGGTTTCCAGGAGAGCAGGAGAAGGAGGGACGGAAGAGCTCGACTGAATTCATAATTTTACATCTTGACATTAGCTGTACAAAGTCTGAGTTTGATCAAGTGAAGAACAATAATTTGCAGAGGTTTATAACAGGCGCGGCGCCAGGTTTTCACTTTTGGGGGGGCCACGGTAATTCTGGACGGACCTTAATAAGCAGTGACTTAAGTGAAGCAGGCAGGTCGCGCTAGAAAATTTAGTTTAAAAAGACGTCATAAATGTGTTCCCCCGTCATTTTTATTTCTAAAATATGAAGTAAAAACTCCCAATTTAATTTTCATTCATTTGTCATTAATATGTAGTCTACACCCGTGCGTTAAGTGGACCATCTTCCAGTAAACGCAAAGCATCCAGTCCACCTCTCCAAATGCGTAAAATGTGCATCAGCCGCTAGTTAGGCGCGCCGCGCACCATCAGCTACGTCAGCCCAGACAAGAGCAGAGCAAATAGAGAAAGAATAGAGGATAATTGTGTCTGGATGTGGATGGAGATTACATTTTACAGCAGCCTGATCATCATTTAAATACGTAAACCATCACCTGTCTTCTAGTCCACGCTATCAGCATTATTTTAATTGGTGTGTGTGTGTGTGTGTGTGTGTGTGTGTGTGTGTGTGTGTTTTCCACTTCAAACACTGGTCTAACCAACCAGACCAGCGTGTCCAGTAACATATTAATGTTACAATTAAACAGTTTCACTTCATGTAGGCTAGGAACATTTCACCTGCCGTGGCCCGACCGCTTCTGCTCCACATGAACTTTGTGCGTGATCAAATGTCTCTACAGGTGTTTTATGAGCTGAAGAGGCGACTGGATGCATCATGCGTCTCCACATTGGAGACAGGAACAAGCGCTATTCAGCCAAACTTTCATAATTTCATAAAAATAACATTTTTCCAAGTGACACATCCCTCAGAGAGACCGGGTTTCCAGACCGCTTCAGTGGGAGGAAATCAACCAACATCCTTGAGTTTATCCGTCAAAATAAACAGTCAAATGGAAATATCTGTAACCTGTCATTTAACTGTTTTGCCTTCTTGTGAAGATTGTTGCAAAGAGAAACAACTAAACCTGATTAACCCCAGAGCCACGCGCACTGCGCTGTACTTCTGACTGTAAATGAGGGGAAACGATTTAATCGGATCCTTTTCTTTTCAACATGGTTTAATGTAAAGTTTCATTCAGTACAAACTTTAGTTACACCAATCTAACGAGACAGAGCCTGGATTTGTATTCTGAACAGTTTAAACATGTTTAAAACGGAGACACGCGTGACGCGTCTAAAATTCGCACCTGCTCCGCTATTATGGAAATTAAACTAACAAGGTGAATAACATAATTATTTTAGGCACAGACAACATCCCCCACACTTTTGAAAAGCTTGCAACGCGCCTGGTCGCTCGTGTACGTCAAAGTTATCTTTCATAAAAAGATAATCAATAAAACGATTAAATAAAGTGGATCCAGAAGCTGTAGCCCGTCTCTGCCTTCAATAATATTTTACTGAGCAGGTGCCACTTTTGTCATACGTTTCTTTTTAAAACATGTTTAGACTGTTCAGAATACAAATCCAGGCTCTGTCACGTTTGATTGTTGTAATTAAACTTTGTAGGTGGGGAAGGTCAGAAAGCAGCTCATAAAGCCCCTTTATGATTACGCACAAGCGTGACGCGTCAACCCGGTCTCACAGTAAGACCGGGTTGGACCTGTTCAGGTTTACGCAGACAATCTTTACATTTAGAATTGGCATACAGATGTAAAATTAATGCAGTAAAATATAAAGCATTTTATTTAAATATCCAGTCATTATTTTATAAGCACAGAGAGCCGCATCAGATGGATGGAGGAGCCGCATGCGGCTCCAGAGCCGCGGTTGCCGCCCCCTGTGCTAGCCTACTTTATTGTCCCCAGCAATTTTTAAGCCCCGCTCAAGTGTATGGTTATTGTCCCCAGCAATTCCGACAACAAACTGACGCCCTTGCGTGGAGGGAATCCCCGCGAGGGGCATGCTGGGAGTCCCTACTTTGCGGATTTTCACCTATCGCGGCCAGGTCTGGAACGCATCTACCGCGATAAACGAGGGATCACTGTACTGACATACATGAACTTTTGCATCACATCTTAATTTTTCACCTGTATCTATTAAAATTGGACTGACCCTAGTTCTTGTCGTACGCTCTGAACCGTGCGTCCACTGATGGTGAACACCTCCATCATATCATCCGTCAGCATCTTGCAGGAGTAACCGATGTTGACGGCTGTTTCTGTGGGAAAGAAAAACACAATTCACGTCATGAAAACCATGCTTTGCTGCTATGGTTGTCTCCGGTCCTGAACTCTAGTGTCCACATCTCACCCTGCTTGTCTCCTGTGAGAACCCAGACCTTAATATTCGCCAGAGAGAGGAGAGCGATGGTTTCTGAGACACCTTCCTGCAGTTTGTCTTCTATCGCCGTGGCGCCAAGGAGCTAAACACAAAAAGAGGAGAATAAAAGCAACAAACTCTAGTTTTCACACAGGCTGCAAACAAGAACAAACCGCAGGACCTCTCAGACAACCAACAACTAAAAATGTCCCACTTCATGAAATTCTGAGAGAATAATCAGCTAAATTTTAAAAAGACCAGATGTGGTGTCGGTGACGCTGTTCGGAGCACCGTAGGAGCTGGAATAAATGACAAACCATCATATCTTGTTCAATCTTGTCGTAAGCAGCAGCCAGCCTGTCCTCTCTGCAGTCCACGGCCTTGTCGGCAGAGCGGTGGCTCTCCGACCAGACCTCCCACTCCTCCTCAGACACGTCCCTGTAGGCCAGCGCCAGTGTCCTCAGCCCATCGGCTGCATACTCCTAAAAGCAAACACACACGTCCACACTAGGTTATCTTTGATGGTGATGAGCCACTAGATGGCACCACAGCTCTGATCGTCGTGTGTGTTGCGTTTTCTTACATTAAGGTGGTCTGAAGTGATAGTCATCAGTTCCTGGTTACATGGGTGGAGTCTCTCCAGCAGGACGGTATCGGCGCCTTTACAGTACAGACGGATCCTGCCTGCTGGGTTGCGTACTGAAAGTGGAAGATTAAGGATTGGGTACATGGAAAAGAACAGAACTGATTATTAACAGTGACCCAAGGTGACATAGTGTTTTAATGAACTGAAACTACAGGATAACTAAAATATATGAATATGTTCATCAGCTGATTCCTGCAGTCTGACTGATGAGTGTTTCATAATTCACATTAAAAATCTTCTGAAACACTCAAGTAGGGAAGTAAGACAATATTGATACACTGAAATATCAATATTTCATGTTAAGATACTGAATCAATATTTAAAAGCGGAGGATCAACTTCTTATTGAGAATTTACGTGTCTTTAGTGTGGTGCAATTCAAAGCCCGATCACTAGGCGGCAGCGGTTTTTACTCCTTCCTCCTAAAGGGATCTCACTATAGGCCAGGATGTGTTCTGGAAGCATCTAGTCTGAACTTTCCAATAAAATCTGTCTTTAAAATTGCAAATATCGTCTGGCTTTTAGCATCACAATATATTTTATAGTCTCTCCTGTAATGTAATATATATATTGTACCCCCACCCCCCACCCCGTATTTAGCGTATCACCTCCCCAGTATTGTGATGTACATTGTATCACCGCCCCTGTATGTTTATACATGTCGTATCGGCCCTCCTGTATTGTGATGTATATCGTATTGCCCCCCCCCCTCCAATTGTGATAAATATTGTATCGCCTCTCCTGCATTGTGATATATATCATATACCATATTGCCCCCCCCCCCCCCCCCATTGTGGTATATATATTGTATCCCCCCCGTATTGTGGTATATATATATATTGTATCACCCATTGTGGTATATATATTGTATCCCCCCCCCCACCCCCCCCATTGTGATATATTGTATTGCCTCTCCTGTATTGTGATATATATCATATACCATTTTGCCCCCCCCCCCCCCCCCCCCCATTTTGGTATATATATTGTATCACCCACCCCCCCCGTATTGTGGTATATATATTGTATCTCTCCCCCCCCCCCTTCCGTATTGTGATATATATCGGATTGCACCCCCCGTATTGTGGTATATGGACCTAACCCCCCCCCCCATTGTGATATATTGTATTGCCTCTCCTGTATTGTGATATATATCATATTGCCCCCCCTCCCCCGTATTGTGGTATATATTGTATTCCCCATCCCCCCACCCCCACCCCCACCCCATTGTGACATATATTGTATTGCCTCTCCTCTATTGTGATATATATCATATTGCCCCCCCCCCCCCCATTGTGATATATACCATGAGAAAAGAAAAGCGGTTGCCTCCGTACCTATTACAGACATCCTCTTGCGAATGTTGTTGAAGTCAAGTATGGCGAGCAGGGAGTAGGTAACTGTTCGGCCCAACTCTGTGGTGGTAATTGTCCCCGGCGTTCGAGACCGGAACACAAAGCCAAAGTTTCGAGCTGCTTTCACCAGAGCTCCCTCATCTGGAGACTGAGCCTTATAAACCAGCTCTCCTGGTCAGATGGAGGGGTACAATATTCACACGATAAATAACATGCTGGTGTTACAGCTTAGCATCGATCTGATCATGTCTCTCTCTCTCACCTTCACTCTTCTCCTCACTCATAACGGTGTGACACAGAGACAGAAGGCGGAAGTACTCGTGAGAGTGCCAGTCGCCCACTTTGACCGACTCCAGCAGCTTTTCGTCGTAAAAACAGAAATCTGGGTTTGCCAGGGGGTTGAAAGGAGTGAAGTCCAGCCTCTGAAGGTGGACAAAAGAGCAGATGAACAACATACTAAATTATTAAACAGACATATCACATTTTAGTTTATCTAATTAAAAGAAAGCTTCAACCTTTTGCTGCGTTCCCTCTGTTTCTGTGACTTCACCTGTTGACAAAACACAGGTAAGGCGATTGAGTGTGTTTTGTTTTCCGCGTGTTTTTTCTCTGCTTGTTCCTTTACCATAAGCTTGTCCATTGATGGAGCACTTGTTGAAGCTCATGATGTTCTGAGTAAGAGTTCCAGTCTTGTCACTGAAGACGTATTCAACCTAACGACCACAGAGAATAAAGTTTAATAAAGAACAAAAACCCAAACCTCAAACACCACATAAGTTTGTAAACTAGCCCTCATTTCATGTCCTAAAAACTGGCCTGATTTCATAGATCTTCAGGTCGTATTTACAGTGTGTGATTCAAAACATTGGAACGTGGAGGTCAGTGAGCTTATTGATAGGAAAGTCACACCTTTAAGGGATCGGACAAGCTGTGAAAGTTTTCATCTCTTTGAGTTTCAGATTTGTTTCACTAAAATATCACTTTGAGTTCCTACCAAGCCCTCATAATTCAGGTCTGGAAAAGAAGCAAAACAGGAAGTGAGAAATACTGCAGTTCCACCCTCATCCACTAGGGGCTGGTGTCAGAAGAGAGCAAATCCTCATCGACTCCCATGTTAAAAATACCAATTTCACAGCAGAAATAAACATGTTTACAGCCTGGTACCAAAACATGTTTTAGGTTTAAATGATCTAGTTTACACTCATGACAACTCTGAGGGGGGTGAATGTTTTTCTCACTCTTCTGTTTAAGTGTATTAAAAGCCTAAAATTCTGTATAATTAATGAGCATCAGACCCACGTGACCACAGAGCTAGCTCCGTGGAAAGGCCTCAGTCTGAGCCTCGGTCTCGCCTTAAAACTGTTCTGCCATTTTCAGTCTCTCAATTTAGACCATTAGTTGTAGCGTTTGTGCGTTCTTTCTGGATATTTTTGTGCAATTGTTGGACAAAATGACTTGCTGTGGCATTAATTGCACTAATAGAGCGTCCAAGGAGTCTCCACTTCATTTTTTTTCGGTAAGTAAAATTATATTTATGCATTTTAGGTCACTGCCGAGCTGAGCTTAGATTTTAACATGTACTGTTTAACCATGAAATGTAAATGTAATAGGGTAAAACCCAGTGCATTTAACATAATGCTGCACTTTAGAAAATGGGTTGAAATATAACATGTTGGTGGAGCTGGGTTCCCACTATCGGTATGGTCTCCCTCCCCTCAGCGGTCAGCTCGGCGCATCTCTGACTCCGAAGCTCCGGTGTTGTGCACAGTTAACTCTGGTTGTAGCTAGGTAGCTACCTCTGTTAGCTTAGCTCCCACCTCTGCGTTAGCTTTGGGTTAGCTTGTAGCTACATCGCTTCAGTTCGACGGGTGTCGTCATTTGATCCCAGCCTTACAGCCCCACCCTCATCTCCACCTCTTTCCCCTTTTATGGAATTGTCTGGGTTTGACAAAACCTGTGACACGGTCAAAATGGCGGTGGTGGTGGCCACCTCCCATTTTGGCACAAAAACTTATAATTGGAAACTATGGAATCACATTGTCCAGTATATATGTCAATGATTCCTACCTGACCTAGTTCTTCATTCAGAGTGGTGGTTCTGGCCTCAGCGGCTGTGTTGCACTGTGAGCAGAACATCTGCCGGTCCCAGTTAATGAAGTAGCTGTGACCCAACCGGATCACCTCCACACTGAAGCACCAACAAATGAGGAAGGACACCAAATACTCGAGATATAAATTATTTATAACTTAAAGTTTCATAACAGTTTGTTCGAGGATTTGTTCTCTGTAGACCTGCAGGGTCACTGGTCTGTATATTTTAGCTATCTCCCTGCTCTGACACACCTGATCCAATGGCTGAAATACCTCTTGAGCAGATTCTCAAGTTCTCAGAAGCCATTGAAACAAACCAGGTGTGTTGGTTCAGGGAAACGCAGTGGTCCTACAGGACCAGGACTGAATTGCCCCGCTGTAAATGGAGTGCGAGATGGCTAGGTGTATCGTTACCATGGTTACTTTTCATAGCCACTGGCAGCAGCTATAACATTTCTTTTATGTTGGTTCATGCAACACTTACAGTTTAAAAGTGAAAAGGTTTCTCATCTGAAATAAATGAGGCGTTGACATTTCAAGCAGTCGCACCCGACAAACGCTTCCTTAGATTTTAGTGTTTTTTGTCGCCTTTTCTAGTTAAAGTTCACGTTGCAACTTTGTCATAAGATGCTCAAACTATCCCCGATTCAGACTGGGAATGGTTTTTCCAGGAGAAACTGAGTTACATCATTACTCATCAGCGGAAAAACATTAGCTTTTGTGATTTACTGCACTTCACCTTACCTGACATAAAGAGAAATGGGCACCACTGTGTTCAGAATGATAACGTAGGACCAAAAGGAGAGGAAGGCTGAGAACAGGAAGTTGTCAACAGGAGGGTCCCAGGGCAGATAGCTCTGGAACAAAGACCCCACCTCTTTCTCCCACACTGCATTACCCACAGCCAGGATCACACCCATACACACCAGAAAACCGAAGATCTGACAGGGATGCACAAAGGAAAACAAGCACAGCGAGGCAGATTCAGCAGGAAGAGGGTGCTTAAATGTTTGCATCGATACTTTTATCATTTTCACATGAATATTTTACAGTTCCTGGTAAGCTCAGATTAGAAAAAGTGTATTATTGGAACTAAATTCAAGCCACTGAGATCATGTCCTAGAATAGTCCAGGGCTATGAAAGTGAGATGGTTGGGGCGTCTCACCCAGAGGACCAGAGTGTTCATCAGTCGATCGATGCTCGTACGTTTAAACTTGGTGCGGCCACTGTTCTGCATGAGCTTGGTATCAGGGCCTGAAACGGTAACACAGTCAGACAGTCAATCTACACACACACACACACACACACACACACACGCACGCACACAGACACACACACACCTGCAAAGATGACCAGGCCATAGCAGGCCTCTGTGTTGCGGAGGACACATCCTCTGAGCAGCATGTTCTGGTTGATCAGTGGGTATTTTTTGTCCCTCCAGTACAACGTCCCACAAAAACGGTCCAGTTTGTTGTTGGGAGGCTCACACACAACCTCACCTTCACCCAAAGAGAGGTGGGGGAAAACAGAACAAACAGGCCCCAGTTAACACCCCGGTCATCAATCCAGATCACATTTATTTCTCCTTGCAGCATGGTTTCATTTCGTCATCCCTGTGCAGCTGTCACACCCAAACACACAAAAACACACGACTTTGTAAGGGGATATGAGGCGAAGTGCGGGCTGATCTGCTGCCGTAATGCGTTTTCCTGAGCAGGTGAGGAGTGTGTGGGCACGCTTTGCTGACTCAAAGCTCCTCCTCCGGTGGGTGGGTGGCAACGAGGTTGTCATTCAGCGTCGGCAGAGAAGGACGCAAACTGTGAACCCTTTGTGGGTCTTTTCAATTATTAATGTGCCACAAAGCAAAGGTGGAAAACATCTGCATCACAGAAGAAACCATTGCCACAAAAATGTAGAAACGCGTAGATAAAAATGAAACGATGAATCCGTTTCTCACCGTTGAACGTGGCCAGGTTGTTTGGGTCACCGAGTTCAGCCGGCACCGACACAGACTGACGCACCTTCACGTTCGTCTCTCTGCAGGTTTGTAGCACAGACAGCTTCAGACACTGTGTCCTCTGATAGGAGGAATGTGAGTTGTGTGTTTTCTGACCCGTCTAACTCGGCTGTTTCTATGTAGCACAGACCGTGAGGTTCGCTGCTGGACAGCAGGAGCAAATCAGCCTGGGAACAGATGACTGGCGTTAGCTGTGCAAAGGACTGGGACCGATCAAACATGCAAGGCACAATTACATGTGATGCATTTAATTCTGTGGTTATTCACAAACAGAAGTGGGACTTTTGATGCATCTCCCTAAAGATTTTTAACATTTTTAACTGACGGTTGTTCAATTCAATTCAAGTTTATAAAGCGCCAAATCACGACAAGAGTCGTCTCAAGGACCTTAACGAAGTAAACATTCCAATACAGGTCAGGTCATTAAGCCAATCAGAAAAAACTTTCCTATATAAGGAACCCAGCAAATTGCATCTCATGGGGTGTTTCTCCATGTCAAGGCGCCTGGCCTTGCGAGGCGATGTCTTGCGAGGCCAGGCGCCTTGCTTACGAGGACGCGGTCCTTCCTTGGGCAAAGAAAACGGTTTGCATCACGTGACCACAGCTTCCACGGCAGTCACGTAACGTCATGTGACACGGGAGATAATGTTATATTTTGTACGTATTAGTTTCAATATAAATATTAAACGAGCCTTTCACTTTTTTAATTGTGTATATGATTGTTAAATTAAAAATATAAGTGAGTTACTACCCGCTAGCCACCGAAGCTGCAACTACTAAGCAACTAACCAACCATAGATAACTTATTTGGATCTAAAAAAACATTTTAAATTAGCTGACTTACTTTTAAACTTGAAAATTGTCCCTGAAGTAGCTGCCAGCTTCTGATCCGCCGTCTTTTTGAAAATACCGCGGTGTATTCTGGGTAATTTTTGACCAAGGCTAGGCTACAAGACACCTCCCGTGTGTCCTTGCTCAGCTAGCTAAACGGCTAACAAACGGAGAACACACGCCTCGGTAGAACATGACCATTGGAACACGTCTTGGTGGCTCCTGATGACGTATCTCCTAGGCAACGGGGGCTGGGCCAAGGCAGCAAGGCGAGGTTCCTTGGCATTGAGAAACACCCACTGACTAGTGTCAGAGACTTTACAGCAATCCTCATACTAAGCAAGCATGCAGCGACAGTGGAGAGGAAAACTCCCTTTTAACAGGAAGAAACCTCCAGAGGATCCTGGCTCAGTATAAGCAGCCATCCTCCACGACTCACTGGGGATGGAGAAGACAGTTGTGTAAAGTTTAATAAAGCAAATGAGAATGAAATCTGCACTGTACAAAATAGTAAAGTGAACCTGAAAATTTAAGGAAGTTTTTTTTTTTATTGAACAGCAATCCACTTTGGTCCTGTTGAAACTACTTATCCAAACTGAGGCCATTCAGGAAGCCATCTATTACTGTGACAGTCATTTTTTCATTTCTTTTTTTTTTTTTTTAACAAAAACAGACCTTAAATGACCAAAATGTCCTTTTAACCTTCCATAACACCAAACGTAGTTCATCTTAGACCTCTTTAACGGGATCAGCGTGCTGGTCAAAAATCTGCTGTATTGACTTCTGTTACGAGTATTCAGCCTTGTTGTGAGAGGTAAAAGCTCCAGGAGTCTCATTCAATGGCAACAAACCAACAGTTCAGTTTTAAACAGGTGAAGGCTTCTCTATGACGCCAGTGTTCACTTACCACCACAGACTGGTTGTTTTCCAGTTTAATGATGTCACCCACTCTGACGTTCATCCACCGTTCTTTCTGCAGCCTGCAAATAATATTGCAACCAAAAACACGCCACTGTCGTAATCAGAAAAAGCTACAACGTGTATCGTTTCTATTAGCCGCGATGACTCACGAGCCTCGGATGAGGACCTGAGATTGATGATTGTTCACTTGGTTGTCGCTCTTGTGGCGAAACTGCAGCCAACAAAGATGCAAAAGGTGTTTTCTCTCGTTGAAGACATGTAGTCGCATTGTTTTTGAGTGTGGTGTGTGGAAAACGTGCTCACATAGTCATCGGTAGCATCTTTTACTGCAGTGATGCTCAGCACCAGAGCCAAAGGCACAATGGTTGTGAACCAGGAGAGGGAGGAAATCTGAGGTATCAACTGAAAACAACAAAAACAATCACCTGATGCCTCTTAAGATTCAGCCTCGCTGAATCTAAAAGTCATCTAAACATTTTCTAGGTGAAAATATGATATGTTTCCTATATTTGTTAGTTCTACGTGCTCCTGAATGGAGCTACTGCATCGCCAGGCCTTACAGAAGAGGGACAGACGAGCGTCTAACTGGTGGGGTTGCAGGTTCAAATCCACCACTCATAACTTTCAGTTTCAAAAGATTTCCAAAAACAGCAGCAGTGAAAACACCGAATCAGTCTCGCAGGAATCAGTCATTAGGCGGTTTGATCCACCTGCTTTGGACAGAACGTTGACACAAAAAAAATCCCGTTCTGGTTCTGAATAAAACACGGATAATCGTTTGATGTTTGGGAGGAATTTAAAACTAAAATGACTGCCTTTGTATTCATGTTGTCGCCATATTTTAAGATGAAATCTTGATTTTCTAACATGAAAACTTCTGAACATGTTCATTTCTTTCCAACAACAGAAATTCTGTGTCAAACAGATGCTGTGCTGACATTTTGTTTTCTGGCCACAAAATCTACATTAATCAAACAACACCGTGGTTTTAGCTGGGGGTGTTTTCCCGCCCGTGGGGCTTGTTCACTAACCGTAACAAACAAATAATTAGGATTTCTAAATGCATAATTTAATGGTTTTAGTCTTTGAAATTAGTTTGTTTAGCACTAGATCAGGGATTCCCAAAGTGTGGTGCGCGTACCCCCAGGGGTGCGCGAGCTGCCGCTAGGGGGTGCGCGAGGTGAAAAGTGTAATGGCTGCGGAGCTCAGAGAAGTCTGTCATGTGTCACCATTAGCGTAGCCAGGAACTCATTTGTGGGTGGGCCAAAGAAAAAGTAAGTGGGCCCAATAAATGTAATTGAAAACAAGTATATTTTTACGCGCACGTGTGTGTGTCCTCCACATGTGCCCTAGCTTCATAATAACAATGTGCCCAGCTTCAGCACTCTGGCCTGCGCACGCCGATATGTTCCGTATTTGATCATTTTTAACGATGTTGGAGAAATCTGAAGGTGGCGAGTCATTCTGGCAGATTGTAATTAACACCTGTCTCATGCAGGTGTTCTGACGTTGTAAACCTCACACACAGAACATCGTGGATGTAACAAAATAACAAGAAATGATTCCCATTCAGGCTATTGACAGCGCGCTGAAGATCTGAAGTTCAGAGTGCGTCTGTCAGAGGTCAGACGTGTTCCGGCTGAACCACGGCTCACGGGTGCACAAGTGAGCACATCTGGACTGGGCAGAAGTCATTTTACAACATTGGTTTAAATAGCGCGAGACTCGGTGACTTGAGCGGCTGTGCCGCGCGCGCACACACACAGATTCAATAAGCGCGCACGCTGCTTTAACTCCGGCGCGCCGTCAGACTGAAGGCAGAAATGAACGCTGCCTCCACCGTGATAAAAACTTTTAAGAGGTTATTTTTCATTCAAGGTCAAATTAAGATATTAGCTTCTGGGATGAGTCGGGTCCGCTCCAGCCAGTGACTCCTCATGAACCTGACCACAACTCCTGTTACTGCAGCATTTGTTATTCCAGTCAGCGTGGCAGCGGATCGCAGATTCAGCCACACCATAAAACAGCAATAAGTCGGTCTGAGGTAAAAGTGAACCTCATGGCTATATCTTGTCCCCTATTGACATTTGATTACGCACAAGTAGGTGATCAGCTCAGGTTTGCGCAGAGCAGAAGGAAGGAGAGCGCTCTGGCCGCACAGGTTAAACATTCCTACTTTAAGAAAATCGTTAAATTGCATTGTTTATGCGCTACCTGGCCACTCCAAATATTTATTTAAAATGAAATCAAAGGAAATTGTAATGGTATCGAATTTTTATTAAGTACTATTTAAAAAATGAAAGTGGTCGGGACATAGAAGGGGGTGCGCGGCTAAATAAGTTTGGGAACAACTGCACTAGATGGTTGTTGAAACTTTAAACTAGAGCTTTAACATTGATCTCAGTGATTGCTGAGTTAGAAACTTAACCAGTTTCATGTTAGACTCCACTCTGCGGAAATGTCGCCAGGTTTGTCGCTAGGCGCTTTTTGGAAAAAAAGTCGTTAAGGGGGTCTGAAAAGTCGTTAGAAATGGCGACAAAGTCGCTAAGTTGGCAACACTGGCAGGGCCAGTCCAAGGAAATTTAGGGCCATCTTAAACCATTCTGGAGAACATCACAGTATTTCATGCAAACACAATTTTAAAACATTTACACTGCAGTAAAATTAAAGTGGGAGTCAAGGCATGGGTGGAGACTTATTTCATACACACTTCCTGTTAGGAAAATGCTTCTGAAAGAGGCGTTGCCTGGCAGACCGAGAGAGCGGCACTGAGGCAGTGATCGACGCCTGCCCCCGCCTGAGTTTTTCGTTGGAAAAACGAGTTGTTGAGCGTGTACGCCAGGAATGTCAAACTCAAATCCACACGGGGCCGAAATGAAAATCTGGGACGGAGTCGAGGGCAGAACTTAATATTTTTTGCAAAAGTGACTGCAAATTTGCACATTTTCTTCAACATATTTAGAACCTTTTAATTTGGAAACAAACTTATTTTTGCCTTAACACTGAATGTGGAATAACCAAATTACACACGGGCAAGTCAGTTTTAAATAAAAGGCATCAGTGGTATTCATTACTTGTGGTATATTCAGCATTTTTAAAATCTATTCAGGATTTATGTTTTCTTGTTTATTCATTTTTCTTATTTTTTATTCTCCTTTTTTTCTCCTGTAATATGTGTCATCGCTGCTGTGACGTCTAGCTTTCCCCACTGAGGAACAATAAAGGGATTTTCTATTCTATTCATCTATCTGCAGCCTTTCCACTTCCTGTTTACTGTAGGTTAAATCTTTTCTCACGGGCCAACAACAAAATAAAATATAATTTTATCTTAAATGAAAATGCAACATCTCACCTGTTAACTTTCATGTTTTGGAGCAGAAAACCAACATATTTAAAGCTCAGTTTGCTCACTGGTTTACTGTGATGCTCACCTGTTCCAGCCAGATACCTGCATCATGGGGTTGATCTGAGCTGGGAAGGAGACTCCTGTTGTTTTGTTCATCTTCATCATAATAACGACAACATTAGATGACAACAGGTGCTCACATAGGTTTGTGCTGATGAACATGTCTGAGCAGCTTGACCACGTTGTTGTGTGTCGGGGAGGAAAAATAACAACTACAGCAGCCACAGAGTCATGCTGGTTTGAGCGTGTCGCTGCTCGCTGGAGTTATATCAGCTCTGTCTGGAAGTTAGTTGGAAAACTTTCTCTTTCAGTCGTGAACACATCACTGAGCGGTTAAAATCTCCGTTTCTGGGCTTCAATGTCGGCAAATAGCTGAGTGAACTCGGCGCTGAGTGAGAGGAGTGTTTAGTTTGTCCGAGACAGCGGAGCTGCAGACACCGGAGCTCTTTGTGAAAAAACACAAAGGAGGGGGGCTTTTCGGCTCCGTGCAAATGCCGCAAAGCATCATGGGAGCTGTAGTCTTTGCGGTAAAATCGGCCAGCGGGTCAGTTTTAATATATTTTTGATATTTATCTCGCGGGCCACATAAAAATGCTCGGCGGGCCACATCTGGCCCGCGGGCCTTGTGTCTGACACATGCGATGAACGCACTCGAGCACACATTCACAGTAGACTTATCACTCAGGGAAAGAGCGGACACGGATTCAGCAGCATTCTGGGGGATTTCCTGTTCACAGCGGTTCTGCGCGCCAAGTGTCGTGTCGGCAAGTTGAGCCGGCAGGTTGAGCCAGGTGGAGGTGCGGCTGCCTCAGAGACCAGTGCGGTGCAGCCATGTAGTAACTTACTGACAACGTCACGTTTTTCAGCTCAGCCGTCAGCCACAGCTGGTTCTACATAAACGTGGAGCAGATTTTTAACCTGAAGATGGAGATAGAATTATGGTTCTGGGCGGAAATGATAAATTTAAAGGAAGTTGCACTAAACTGCCACACTGATGATTACACATGTCTACAGCACCATTAGACACTCATCTATACAGGTTCTCTGTTACTTGCTGTTTAACACTGTGTGCTATAGAAATACATAGAAAGCTGTGACTAATTATTTATTTATTTTTTACAAAAATTCGCAGCAGAGCTAGCAATCAGTAGATAATCAGGCTCAGATAGAAACTATCCATCAGAAGTTCTGCTGGTCTAGGACACAAATGCAAAGATCCCTTCCACCCATTCTCGCCTCACCTGCAGGATAAGCAGGAAGAGGAAGTATGTGTTGGCTACTTCCTGGAACTGCTCAAACAGGTTGACAGGCAGAAAGGTAAGCATGTTGTATTTCGATGTCATGATGCAGTTACTCTGGACCAAAATCAAAGAGAAGAAAATAAAGTTCATAGGAATGCAACAAAAGTGTGATTTTGGAACGCATACGTAGCTGCAGGAGCAGCACAGGTTAACTCACCGCATACTGGAACTTCTCATTGTACTCCCTGTCGTTGGCTTTGACCTTTCTCTCCTCCTCTGCAGAAACACACAACCACAAATGAATAAATGACGTACAAACAAAAGTAAAATAAACAGGGTCACACAAAATGTAGATGACATTTCTGTCAGGGCTGCAACTATCGAATATTTTATAATCGAGTACTCTATCAAATCTTTTATTGATTAATCGAGTACTCTATCGAATCTTTTATTGATTAATCGAGTACTCAAATAAATGACCCTTTTGTGTTCATAAACCATTATATCAAATAGCATGTTATAAAATATGAAAGACCTCTTAAAATGAGCACGCAATTGTCAGTTATTCAAGTTTTATTCAAAATTAGTTTTCTAAACTTCAGCACTTCAACTTTACTTCACAGTAAACAAACGCCCGTGCAAAAAATAAGCATACAACCTGAGCCGAATTTCTCCTCGTGCGAGAATCTACTAGCCTGGCAACTAGGAGGATAACTGTTGAAGTAGCGCTGCGAGCGGCTGCGGCCCAAACAGAACCAGAACCGCTCACGGCGCATGCGCAAACATGGCTCACCAGCTCTTTCCCTATTAACACACGTCCATTTTAATTTCTACACTTTTTTTCTCACACAATAACAAGGATGGTCGAGAAAGCATGTTTGCCGTGGTTATGTCAAATTATACTGATCACTAAACATTTATTTACTTTCTTTTGTTTTCCTCTCATAAATACCTGTGTCCTCCTGCAGCGATCCCGAGGGACAACAAACGTCAATAACACAATAAAAAGTCCAACGTGTTGTATAAAAACTGCTATTTTTAGCACATTTTTAGGTCCGACGTGTTGCTAGCAGACGCACAGTGTGAGCTGAAACTGAGCGCTACAAACGAAAAAGTCGCACAGTGTCCGCAGAATATATAGCGGACCTCCGAGTCCGCTTGCAGAAGTGACATTTACATGTGGATGTTTCCTGGTCAGGTGCTGCAGCATGGAGGATGTGGTGTTGTGGTAGGCTAAATCCATTTTACGGTATTTACACTGGAGTACGTTTTCCGTCTTACGACGTGAAAAATGGTCCCACACCTTTGGCATTTTCTGTCTTTTTCGCACTCCACCGGGGTCCACATTGTCCGCCATGGCTTAAGAGAAAGTAAAGTTACATTCGCTACTCGCGTGTGCATTCAGTGCAGTATGTATGTGCGTCACTTATTTCGGTCCGGGTGAAACATGACCCCGAGCGACTGCAAAGCCATGAATTAATTAAACATGAATTAAACGAATCCTCGAGGCAGAGAATTTGATTCGAGGCTTTTTTGTACTCGAATTATTCGAGGTACTCGAGGAATCGTTTCAGCCCTAGTTAAATTTAAAGAGATCAAAAGTGAAGTAGTGAATGTTTTTGCTTTTATTAAAGCTCGTGTCCTCCAGCCCAGCTGTTTTTAGGTGCAGAAGTTTGAGTTTCTCTTTGTTTCCATCCCTAGAACTGCTCTTCTGCTGTCAATTAAGATGCTTTAAAAACTCTCGAGTCTCAACTGACCTGTCTTGCACAGGAAATGTGTCTGCATTGCCAAAAATAGGTATTCAGACCAAATACACAATACTGAAACAAAGATGTCCTCGGCACGCTTCGGAGAGGTGACACAGGAAGGGCCATCACGTAACAAAAGTCATTATAATCACACGCTCACTGTGGTTTCCTGTGTTGCTGCAGCAAAGCAACCATCATCTCTGCTTTAGCTGAGCTCCAACACAGCCCCCCTGAAAGAGGCGTTTCATCAGCGTCTGGAAGGAAACGGCTAGCTGATGTTTCAGTTAGATGCTTATAGGCCAAAATCTATTCTGTTGAACCTCCTCTGCACCATTTTATCTCTCTAGTCTTTGTTCATAAGAAGATCATCATGTTGGGAGATTTGTTGAACATGCAGGACAAGAGGAGGGCAAAATGCCCGTGCCAGGTAAGCACCGAGGCGTCCTACGTCGGGATCAGGATCGTGCGTGCTCAGACTTCCCCTGTGCAGACTGACCAACTCAGCCCGAAATGCAACAGCATCTTTGGTGTACTGCACAGTAAGTGTTTAACGTCTCTGACCACTTCAAGGACATCAGAAGCCCTGACACAGACGCCACGCTGCACTGCAGGTCTGCACAAATCTATAAAACTCATCATTGGGAAACTCTCAGCTGAGGATACAATTACAACAAAAATAGGGACATCAGTGAGTAAATAAATATTGATTTGAGCTTAAATAAGGAGAAATAATGAGTGCATTTATCCAAAAGCGCTGCTTTTGCTGCAATATTAATCCTCCTCCCCTCATGGCTGGACAGTAACTCCATCAGCTGCATTAACACAGACCGAAGCAAACTCAGACCAGACCGATGAGAAGAGATCTCCCATCGTGGATGATCTAATCAGGTGAAAACGCTCACAGCCATGTGGTGAAGTGAGAAGAATCAGTGGCGACGCAGAAACGGGACAATGGAGCGGGGGTCAAATGAAGGTGCATGTTCGTGTGATTTGTGATGATTAAGCTGAGGGATAACAGACGAAGCAGAGCAGAGGAAGCTGGCGCCCGGAAGATTGATCAACGTCTCAGACAGGAGAAGAGACACAAATCTGCTGTTGCTTAAGCATTTATTTAGAATTAAAGGGCCTTTTAAACCCATTTCACTTGAGATTTTCTGTAAATGATGTAAATAAACACCGTCTTACCTTAAGCTTCCTGAACACAACCAACACGCTAATGCTAATTCTCTGCAAACTTTGCAATCATTTTGTCTCCAGGAGAGAGCCGAGTGATTCTCGGCTAGTAAAAGCTAACCATTAGCATTAGCAACTCCACCACGCAGCACAACTCCTCCAGGCCTGTGTTATTTGTGGAGATAAAACATCAACGTTGCACCGCAAACACAGTCAGTGGTAGAGTTGTGTTGCTGTTAGCCAATCAGAGGCGAGATGTCCAAATATCAGAACGTAAAGGGCCATTCCCATCTGTACCCGGTCGGCCCGGCCCGGATAGCTGCAGTCGGCCCCAGCCTGGCCCGGATGATTCCACACATCCTTGCTTGGGCATGCAAGGAATGCCGTCAGAGACATTTTCAGCTTCTAGGTAATCAGCACGATAATGAATGATGATGAATTGAGCATGCCTTAAGCCCATGTGGGCTGATTCTACCCACCAATCAGAGGCTTGCTCTAATGGAAGGTGTGAATTTGCTGACTGGTAAGCCGGCTTATCAGTCAGCAGGGGGTGTGTTGGCCCTGGTCAGCCTGAAGCAGACCACCTCAGAAAGAGGGCTGAAAAACAGTCTTGTTGCACCCTGAAAAAAGGCAGGCCACCAAGATATGTAAGCTATGCTATCCGGGCCGGGCCGACCAGGTACAGATGGGAATGGCCCATAAGACTCCAAAACCGTCCGTGTTCTGCTCACCTCTTCTTTGGCTAAATTCTACTACCTGAAACAGGAGCGCCAGAGCTTTTTTTCCCCCACAGAGATTGACTCACGAGACGTTCAGTGGCCGCTGTGAACGTGTTGAAACAATTATTGAACTTTATGTAATGTAGCTGCTACCACGTCATTCCTGTTGGGTGTAAACTCTGTTTCTCTGAACAGAGGCTGTTCAGGGAGCTGTGGTTAGACCAGCACAAGCACATCTAAGTGAAAACGGGTTAGTGAGCCCCAGACCTAGTGACATGATGCAATCTGATTCTAACTGAAGTTGGATGGAGATGAAGTGTCCAGTTGAAGAAGGAATGAAGCATCTTTTTGACTTTGATTAGAATAATCAATTCACACAAATTCATACCTGTCTGCTTCTTTTTCGCCTTTCCTCCATCCAGTCCTTTCTGTTTCTTTCTGATCAGGGGCAGAACGACTGAAAACCAGCTCTGCTGGAAGTCCCTCCTCACCGTCATCTCAAACTCCTTTAGAACGTTTAACAGCAGAAACATCTGAGCGTCACATCTCCTCGGACGTGTTTTTGCTGCTCCAACCTGACTTTGTTCTGCCAGCTCTCCTCTCTCTGCCCTCTTCAGATGCAGCTTTCTGTCTGCCTTGCTCTGATTTCTCTCTCTCTGTCTGTAGAAATGCTGAACTGCCGTGTTTTGGTCAGAGGGAGGAACTGTGACTAAATCTAAAACGGCCCAAACTTTGTCATGAGGTCTGGTTTGACAGTTCTGTCCAAATATTGCAGAAGCTTTGTGTGCATGTTGCACAAGCACCGATCAGCACCATGATTGCTTTTGTGCAGCTTCATCAATCAATTAAGTCCGCATCAAGTTTCATCCACAACATAAATACGCACAGATTTGGGCATTACGTAATCAGGCTGGCGTTGCTTTGGGAACCGCCTCTGCAGGGATCTCACCGCTGAGCTAGCCAGTCGCAGGTGAAAACCATCGACATTTACATATATGGACAATGGGTTTCCATAGCTCCAATAACACATTTTTGAAGAGAAATGGGAGGTGGCCACCACCGCCATTTTGACCGTGTCACAGGTTCCGTCAAGCCCAGACAATTCCACAAAAGGGAAGAGAGGTGGAGCTGAGGGTGGGGCTGTAAGGCTGGGATCAACTGACGACACCCGGTCGAACCAGCTACAAGCTAACCTGAAGCTAACCCAAAGCTAACGCGGAGGTGGGAGCTAAGCTAACGGAGGTAGCAACCTAGCTACAACCGGAGTGCACAACACCAGAGCTTCTGAGCAGTGGCGTGTCCAGATCTTTAAAAATGGGGTGGCCCAGGTGAGGCACAGCTTTGTGCATGGGTGGCACCAATGGTTATGCTTTGTTTGTTTTACCCCCAAGCCTTTTGTGGGCAATGAAAAGCCTATTTAAAGATAAATTAGTGTGGTGGCACCTGGGGTGGCCAATCAGATTCCAAAGGTGGCATGTGCTACCCCAGGCCACTCCCTTTACGCCCCTGTTTCTGAGTCAGAGATACGCCGGGCTGACCGCTGGGTAAAACCGGGTGGAAAACATCGGTCTCCCGAGATCTCCACAAGCCGATAGTGGGAACCCAGCTCCACCAACATGTTATATTTCAACCCATTTTCTAAAGTGCAGCATTATGTTAAATGCACTGGGTTTTACCCTATTACATTTAAATTTCATGGTTAAACAGTACATGTTAAAATCTAAGCTCAGCTCGGCAGTGACCTAAAATACATAAATATAATTTTACTTATAAAAAAAATGAAGTGGAGACTCCTTGAACGCTCTATTAGTGCAATTAATGCCACAGCAAGTCATTTTGTCCAACAATTGCACAAAAATATCCAAAACAGAATACACAAACACAGAGACTCAAAATCCCGGAACAGTTTCCAGGCCAGACCGAGGCTCTACTGAGGCCTTTCCACGGAGCTAGCTCTGTGGTCACGTGGGTCTGATGCTCATTAATTATACAGAATTTTAGGCTTTTAATACACCTAAACAGAAGAGTGAGAAAAACATTCACGCCCCTCAGAGTTGTCATGAGTGTAAACTAGATCATTTAAACCAAAAACATGTTTATATATTGTTCAATTTTTCTTGTATTAATGTTATTTTAGTTAAAAGGGGCAGATAACATAAGTTTTTCTTCTTTCTGTCCCCTTTTTCATTTTGGCTTGTAATTTTTTTTCTGTATTTTTACTTTAATGTCAATAAATGAAAAATGAAATAAAGAAAAAAGAAAAAAAAACAAATAAAAAGATGAAGCTGCATCATGTGGATGGATAGCATAATTGCATGTCACACATTCACATATTTTTTTCAAACGTTCTTATCTAAATATCACTGAAATAAAAGTTTGACACGTAAAAAAATAGCAGAACACCAACAAGTTGAACTCTCCTACAGCAGGATGGAGGACGGTTCATCTCTCTGCTTTTGTTTCTGGTTTCTGATGGATGCTTTATGAAGATCTGACTTTAAGATTTTGCTCATGCAAAAGATATTTTTTCCCTCACAATTTTTTTTGCTCCAATTTCCTCATAAACACAAACTGCACAACATGTTGTCATGGTGACACAGAAAAAGGCAAACAAAGTCCAAAGTTAAAGAGCAAGCCACTCCCTACCAGAGTATTACTCCACTTCCACTTCCTGTTTGAAAAACGCAACAAATGCTGTTGCCTGGCAGACCGAGAGGGCGGAGCCGCTAACAAACACACACACACACACACACACACACACACACACACACACACACACACACACACACACACACACACACACACACACACACACACACACACACACACACACACACAGTGACATTGTGACATCATATGGTACCAGCTAACGTTCTAGGGTACCTCTTAGCCAATAGCGATGGCAGATTTAAATTCAAATGCAGCGTAGAGTTTTTACCCGACAACGACACAACGCTGACAGTTTTAGGCAGAAAATTTAAATTTGAACTAAAATGCACTAAAGTGCAAAACAATTGACTACACGTGTCTGCAGCACGATTAGACACACATTTATATAGTTTCTCAGAAAAAAAGTTGATTTGGGGGTGACTTGCTCTTTAAATTCCTTCAAAGTATCCGTAAAAACCAGTTTAAAGGACTAAAACAAAGTGGGACTTACTGCAGATGAAGACGTCTTCTAATTCTCATGTTCTGTCCAACAAACTTTACGAATGATGCAGGAAGTCCGCAAAAAAACATGTTCTAAATAACTATCAGTCTTGAGTCGTTCCAGTTATTGTCTTTGACATTTTCATTGGATTTTAGTGCTTCTGTGTTCTGGTTTTAGTTTTATCAATAGAAAAATCATCGTTTCCTGTGAAAGCTTCCTGTGTTGTTTAACATTTCTGTCCAGTAAACCAGAACAACTTACTCCACGGTAGATTTAGTTCTCCAGCATGTAAATACATATCAAAGCTTGGGTTCAGTGTGTCCCCTCTGGAAACAGCTTGGACCATCGGATCAGAATATACCCCTGTAAATCATGTGTATGAAGTTCAGCTCAAACGGAGTGTGTTTATTCAATCTCCATCAAAAGCTGTCGGGATCACAACTGAAGACATGTTTAATGTGAAGTTCTGACCTGGAGGAGGCCTCTTTCTGAACATCTCCACTCTGCTGACGTGCTGTCGCAAAGGCCCATGAGACAATCTGCTGAGGGGTAAAAACAACAATATTACATACAAGTAGAGTCACAATGCACATGATCAAAACAGGAGAAGAAAGAGGAGGAGCCTTTTGTCACTTAGAATATATGGAAAGCAAAGATCAAATCACACACACACACAGGAATTTTTTTCTTATTTATTTATTGACATATCTTTATAAGGAGGATTAACCCCTTGAGATGAAACATCTCGTTTTCAAGGGGGTCCTCAATTATTTCAGATCAAAAATGAACAAATAAAGCAGATCGGAGACACAAGTAGCATTACAACCTTAATGTAGACAATGATTACAACACATACACACACGCACACACCCACACACGATGGCTCACAATGCTTCCCCCCCCCCCCCCCAAGCACAAACCTCACTACAAACATGAAGTAAAGACAAACACAGGTCTGAACTAATGAACGAACATGACTGAAAAATAAAAATATATGCATGTAACGTCTACAAATGGTCAGTTTTTCATGTACAGTTTGACCTCTTCAGTATCTGGTCATATGGAGACAGGAGTCTACATTTGTTGCCTTTAATCTGCCGGATCCTGCCATTTCATCAGCTGGAGTCCAGGCCTCTCTGCAGCTCGGAACACACGAATACATATTGCCAACAAACTGTTCCTGTTGCAAGGCCTAAACTTCCCTTATGGCTTCTACAGGATTTCTCATGCCTCTGAATAAAGTGACTATTTTCAGCTCATAGGAGTTAATCGATCGTGAAATGAATGAACAAATGTTATATGAATTAATAATAATGTTTTGATTAATCTGTGCTTAAATTAATAAGGCTGATTAATCTGTGCTTGAACTAATAAGGTTGATTAATCTGTGCTTAAATTAATAAGGTTGATTAATTTGTGCTTAAATGAATAAGGTTGATTAATCTGTGCTTGAATTAATGAGGTTGATTAATCTGTGCTTAAATGAATAAGGTTGATTAATCTGTGCTTAAATTAATAAGGTTGATTAATCTGTGCTTAAATTAATAAGGTTGATTAATCTGTGCTTGAATTAATAAGGTTGATTAATCTGTGCTTAAATGAATAAGGTTGATTAATCTGTGCTTAAATGAATAAGGTTGATTAATCTGTGCTTGAATTAATAAGGTTGATTAATCTGTGCTTAAATGAATAAAGTTGATTAATCTGTGCTTAAATTAATAAGGTCGATTAATCCGTGCTTAAATTAATAAGGTTGATTAATCTGTGCTTAAATTACTGTGGTTGAAATGAAACATTTTGATATTATGACCAGTAATGTTGGTTTAACAAGTGAATCACTATTTTCTGACAGCTCACACACTCAGACACGTGATGATGACAAGGTTAAGCTAACATCCTGACACATTGCTTTCTGTTCCACGAATCAGAACTCCTGTGTCTGACACAAGGCGTGATGTTCTGAGGTTTGCTTGTTAACACCCCTTAACATGGCACGTCCCGGTTGGCCAAGAAATCATAATATGAGAATATTAAAACAGAGCTCACTGGACAGTGAGTCAATTCTAGAGAAAGCGACAGACAGGCCATCCGTAGCGAACCCTCTTTAATCCAAATCTTTCGACGAGCTAAAAGCTGCCTACAGCTGACACAGTAAACGGTTCCCTCGGCTATTCAGAAACAGCTGTTCTAGACGCAAACGATTTCATTTGTCTGTTGTGATCCAGGAGATGACTCTGGACCGACCTGGTAATGCTGTGTTTTTTCTACAACTTCGGTACCACCCCCCCCACCCCACCCCACCCCCCCACCCCGACATCTCGGATCCGAAAGGAAGTCTCCTCAGGAGTACGTAGAACACAGCCATGTGTCCTAACGGGACAACAAAGCACAAAACGGCCAAGACTGTTATGTGCAACATCTAAAGCGTGCAGACAAGAAGCAGTGGTATTTTATAAATAATGTCAGCATAGTCCACAGTAGGCAGAAGCAGCTGTGTGACTATTGTTTTTCTGATCAGAGAGTTAAAACTGTTAACAGAATGACGAAGTTTATTTAGCCAAGAATTAAGTTTATGTGTAGTTGCATGAACATGGGTTTTAAAAGTTAGATCATAATCCAGCCAAACACCTCAGTATTTAAAGGTCTCGGTCAATTCAAGAGGTGAAGAGTCGTGAAAATGAAGATTAAGGTGTTTTTCACCTGAACCTATAGCTTCCTATGAAACAGTAAGGAAGAAGATTTTGTTTTATTAAGTAGAAGTTTGTTGGCTTGTAGCCACTGCTGAACAGCGTCAAAATCGTGCTGTAGGGACACAATTATCCCAGAAATGGTTGGTTTGCGGCAGTAAATAAGTGTATCGTCAGCATACAGATGTATATTACAGTCTGTGCAGCATAAAGGCATGTCATTAACAAAAACAGAGAATAATAAAGGTCCTTCGGAAGGATCTAAAGAAATGGCACCAGTACATTGATTATCATCAAAGCTAGAAAATACATCGTTAGTGAATTTCATAAGAGCAGTGGTTGTAGAAAAAGGTTTCCTGAAGCTGAAGTAAGTTATTATCTGAGAGATAGTCATATAATTGTGTAAAGATGAATTTCTCAAAAACTTTCACCACACTGTTGATTATTGATATTGGCCTGAAATTATTCAATATCACCTCCTTTATGCAGAGCAATGACTTTAGTACATTTTCAACCAAAAGACACTTCACAGGTATCAAGCGACACATTAAAAGGTGCAGCTAAAGGTGAATCTGTCTCTGTGGGGTCATTCTGAGGACCAGCAGCTTCAGCCAGATCCTGGTGGATCAGAACACCTCAGGACGTTCTCTCCTCATGTTTTTTATTTTTTACACGTCACTTCCTGTCCTCATCCTGCTGACTCCTTATTAAACACCTGGAAGCTTTCAGTCCCTGAGATCTTCTCAGAGCTGAGAGGCAGAACATACACACACACACACACACACACACACACACACACACACGGTAGAAAGGAGCAGCGAATGATCGATACTCTTAAGAAAGAGTGCCTTTCTCCATGCTTCCAGCGTTACACCCTCTCTACTCGCGTCGCACACTGCACCTGCTCACGTCCAGACCATACCGAGTAAAAAGAAACTTAAGAAATATGTGAAAAATAAATATTGGCCATTTTGTTTGTTTTGTTTATGAAAACTCAAACTTTTCCATCTTCACCTCCTCTAAGCAGCTGTTCAGCACACTGGTGTCCTCAGAAGGAAAGCAGACGATTAGAAGAGAGAACATATGAAAAGACAGCCTGGTACACGCGGCCATGTGATAATGAAATAACAGGAACGGAGAGGTCAAACAGAGATCTGGAAGATCAGAAGGTCTGAGGTTGATTGCTTAAAACCATAAACATTTGGGCTAAAACCACCGGAAACGTCTGCAAACAAACACACAGGTGGAGTCTCGTGATCAGAAGTTAACGTCTCAGGTCAACAAAATTCCAGAAATAAAGGCTGCAAACTTAAATAAGCACCTAAATGGAGTTGACCCATAGGGCTTTGCCATGCTCTCACTTCTCTGACGTCACCGGCAGGTGTCTTTCCTGTAGGTTCATCTATCCTGATAAATATCATAAATGATATATCTACGTTACTTCCATGTGTGTGCGGGACCAGGGCCTCTGGTTCTGAAGGATTATGAATGAAAGTGAGTTTGATCGCCGCAAAAACATCAGTTTTAACCGTCTGTGGTGACGTCAGAGGGAAAAGTTTGAGCACAGGACGTTTTGAGACTCAGAAACTACAGAGAGCTTCAATGATTCATGCGTCTCCAGCGGGTGGAGGCATGAATCAGGAGGTCTGGAGAGCGCAGCTTACCTTCTCAGCTGTGCGTTAGAAACCTGGAAGCTCTCCTGGAGTGGAGCTCATGGTCCGGTTCGGCTCCAGCTGGCGGCAACGCGGCGGTTTGGGGCCGCTGATGCTGAGGAGGGCGGAACGAGACACCAGAGAAGCTCCTCTTGTCTGTCAGCGTGTTGGGATGAGGAGGAGGAGGAGGAGGAGGAGGAGGAGGAGGAGGAGGAGGAGGAGGAGGAGGAGGAGGAGGAGGATTGTACCTAACTCACCTCCTCTTCATCCCCATCTGAACTTCCTGTAACAAATCAGAGGATGTTTGGTTTACGCTCTGGTTCAAAAATCAGAAGTCAAACTTTACACTTAGAGGGTTTCTGTAACATTATTTTACAACCGTTTATCTAAAATAAACAAAAACGATCAAATACACGGTTGTGTCACAGCGCCCCCTGCTGATCAGGTTCTCACTGGTTTTCTACGATGAAAAAGTCATGAAACAGTCTTTCTCTATAATAATAATAATAATAATAATAATGATGCATGAAAATAATGATGCATGAAAATAATGATATATACAAATGTAGTTAATTTATGAAACTAAATGAAAAATTATGAAAATGTAGTTCTTTTGCATTTTTTATTCATTTTAGCAATACGAGCTATAATATAATATGAGTTATGTTGGGTAGAAATGTTTAATTTTAAAACATCTTTACAATTAATTTTCATTCACATTTTCTAAAACCTTTGAAATTAAAATAATCAAAATCATTCCCTGGTCCAGGGACTACATCAATAAACTAAAAGGACCTAAAAGTGCACTACAAAGTGGTTGATGTGCTAATTCCAGGGTTGTGTAAAAGACAGAACCAACCGCTTTTGATCCATAAAATTAAACTGTGTATCATAATAAAGTCACCAGGTGCAAGAAATAAAGAAATTCAATTCAAGTTTATTTATAAAGCGCCAAATCAGGACAAGAGTCGTCTCAAGGCACTTCACACGGTAAACATTACAATACAGGTCAGTTTATCAAGCCAGTCAGTAAAAGGTTTCCTATATAAGGAACCAGCAGGTCGCATCGAGTCACTGACTCGTGTCAGAGTCTTTACAGCAATCCTCATACTAAGCAAGCATGCAGCGACAGTGGAGAGGAAAACTCCCTTTTAACAGGAAGAAACCTCCAGAGAATCCTGGCTCAGTATAAGCAGCCATCCGAAAAATGAAGACTCACATAAGCAAATGGCATTCGGCATTCAACTTTAGCACTTTAGTTAACAGACTTCATTATTTTCCACCAGTGATCAGGAGAATCATTGATGCTTAATTGTTCCATAGGGCTTGTTGTCATAAAATGAATCCGCAGACGTCAATGTAAACAACTTTATTTATGGATCAATAACCCTTTCAGCTGGCTGGATTTAACAAGCTGTCAGAGTAAAGGCTCCTTCTGAAGAGGCAGAGCTCAGCTGTAATTCACAGCTTTTCTACTACGGATCAACAACAACAGGGTTTATTTGTTGTCAACAAAAGACAGTTTTAATGTCCTCATCAATAAGTTTTAACAAAGATAGAAATAATTAAAACATAATAAAAATGTATATAAAAAAGGTTGTGTAGCAATTATATAACAGCCTTACAGTCAGTTGTGCTTTAATCAACAACAACAACAACAACAATAATAATATTATCTCCGGTTATTAGCTAAATGTTGAGTGTCTGTTAAATAAATTGATTTATTTTTACTCATTTTAAAACATGTTTTTGTGTGAAAGTTATAAATGATTATCTTACCAATCACACCGAGCAGCCTCTGACCAGAGAAACAGAGATCACATTCTAAATTAAGCTGTAACTAGAGCTACAGTAGATAGACACGTTCTTTCCCCACAAATCAAACATTTCTAAATCCCACTTTGACAGAAATATTCAAATGTTCCATCAGAGTTTCTACGTTCTGCTGCTGGAGGTTTTTCCACCGTAAATAAGCACAGAAATTCATGTAAATAAGGATGAAATACGACTGACCACTTGTTAGGGTTTACAGGACCAAGAGTAAAAGATCTGCTGCTCTTCTCTTCGGCCTAGACTCAGACCAGCCGTCAGCTCACCCAGACAGCTAAAATATCCCAGGGTTTCCCTTACATAGGCGTAGCCATGGCGGCCCGCCACGGCTGAAATCCCACAGCCACGCCTACAAGATCCCAAGTTTTTTTGGTGTTTTTTTTGCGCTGTTTCCCGAAGAAGCAGCGGGAACTACTATGTTGTCGCTTGTGATCACAGCCGGCAGGCAGGGCAAGGTGAAGTTACTGAGTTTAAAATTAGAAAGGTAGCAGTGGATATAATGCTTTTTGGTTTACATGTTTCAATAGCATTAAGATAAATAAGCGTTGACGATCTTGACAGGGTTTCCTCCCCCCACCAGGCTAAGCATCACTTATTCATGTAAAGTTTATTTATTTATTTTTTCATGTCTGACTTTAACCACATCTAATACTGTATTATGTCGTGAGCGCAACAGCGACAACTTAAGATCGATGTGTGAGCAGCCTGAGAGGTCGGGTGTTTTCATCTGAACCCTTAAAACCTCCAGCAGGCTACGCTGCACCATTGACGTGTTAGCGCGCGGCGCTAACAACTTAGCGACGTGACATGTCTCGGAGAAAGCGTAAAAACACGTTGGACGCTTCTTCTGAAGCGGGAAAATAACGCTTCTTCTTAAGCAGAGCACGACGTCGCCTCGGCTCGTTCACGGCCGAGCCTGTACCGGACTGGGCTCGATAACATTGACCCAGCACAGCCACTGGGTCGTTGGAGCTGCCCCGTGACTGCCTGATGGAAAACCAGCGGGTTTCATCAGACTCGTAAAGTTTCTTGTTTTTGCTGGGGACCCCCTGTATTTTACCGCTCCCTCCTGCAGTCTTCCCCTATTAACATTTAAAATAATTCTGTAAATTCGTGTATCAATAGAAACAATCTGCTTTTGCCAGCTGCAGTAAATGTAGTCTCCAAATAATAAATAAGAGGTGCATTCATCTGTGGATCTCCTTAGACCCGCATTAGTGATATTTTCAGCACCAGAACAGTGAAGCAAAGAAACAGATTCCTGAGTTTGTTAGTAATTTTATTTATTAGGTGCATCTGACCTGTTCTATTTTTCTCTGAAATGAGATCAAATCAGTGCTTCTATGGGTTGTCTCCAATCTGCACTGGAAAATTTTACTTTATTTAGAGATGTGTCATAATTCCTCGCCAAGCCTTCCCCCCCCCCCCCCCCCCCCGCCAGCTCCACCGCCACAGCTGGAAAAGTTCCTAAGGGGAACACTGTATCCCTTCTACTCACACACTTCCCTTTATTTGTGGTCTGCAGCGTGGCGTCGTTTATGAAATCACCACGTTGTCCTAAAGCGTGACATCAGTGTGTGGTACCTAAGATTACACAGGTGTACGTTTAATGTCTTTACCTTTATTTGGGTTCTCTGAAGCACATTTCAATGTCTCATCTACTACCCCCCCCCCCCACACACACACACGCGCACACATAACTATACACACACTCACACATGCATGCACGCACGCGCGCACACCCACACGCACATGTGCACATACAGGCATGTACACACATGCATGCATGCACACACACATGCACGCACGCACATGCACTCACACACATGCGCACACGCACACACACACATACACACACACATGAACATGCACGCGCACAGACACACACGCACGCACACATGCACGCACACACACACACACATGCACGCACGCACATGCACTCACACACATGCACACACGCACATACACGAACACGCACGCACACACAGACACACACGCACACAAACATGCACACACACACAGACACACACGCACACACACACGCACGCACGACACACACACACGCACGCACGCACGACACACACACACACACACACGTGCGCACACACACACTCACACATGCATGCACGTGCACGCACACACACACACACGCACGCACACACACACACATGACATGCACACACGCACGCACGACACACACACACACATACACACACGCACGCATGCTCGCGCACACACAAGCATACACACACACATGCACGCACGCGCGTGCACACACACACACATATGCACATACAGGCATGTACACACATGCACGCACGCACGCATGCACACACACATGCACACACGCACACACACACACACACGAACATGCACGCACACACAGACACACACGCACACACGCACGCACACACACACACGAACATGCACGCACACACACACACAGACACACACACACACACGCACGCACGCACGACACACACATGCGCACACATGCATGCACGTGCACGCACACACACACGCACGCACGACACACGCAGACACACACACACATGACACGCACACACACACACACACACACACACACACACACACACACACACACACACACACACACACACACATTTGTGTATTTACATTATAAATATCTGCAGCACTCAGACATCAACAAGCATTTGACATTTTTAATTAACATCACAAATGTGTTGACTTCAACTCTTCTTCTTTCTCCCACATGGTGGTGGCAGGTTTGTTGGCCTTGTTGCTGACGGTGTCGACCACGGTCAGGCTCGCTGGAGGTTCTGGGTCAGGCAGCTGCCAGTGGATGAAGATCAGATACATGAAGGAACCTAAAACACCTCCGATAGGCGGAGCCACCAGCGGCACCCAGAACCAGTAGTTATAACACCTGGAGAGGAACCAGTTGTGGAGTCACTGGCAGAACTATTTGTATGTTACACATTGAACATCTGGTAGGTGACATATGCATGTAAATGTGTGTGTGTGTGTGTGTGTGTGTGTGAGTGGGTATATGTGAATATGGGCGTGAGTATGAGTGGGCAGACATGTATGCATTCATATATGTACATGTATACATATGCATACTAATAGTACATATCGTCACAGAATCGACAGAAAAAAATGTGGGACCTTAAAAAAAGATGACCCCCTTTTCCACCACAGCGTTTAAAGAGACTTCTTACGTGAAAACTTCGGTGCCCCAGCCTGCAGTCAGAGAGAAGAGGCGCGGACCGAGGTCCCGAGCCGGATTTATGGCCGCGCCGCAGTTAGCTGACATCGACATGGAGATGCCGAGGACAATCACTGCAACGATGGGAGGAATCAGCTCAGAGGGAGCAGGGGTGTTCCTCCTTTCCTCCAAACTCAGGATGCACATCATCAGCATGCCTGTTCCAACCACCTGGTGGAGTCATTATTCAGAGATGGTGTCATAATCCATTTATAGCTGCTTTATTATTTCAGTTATAACCAGCATCACCTACTTGATCCAGGAAGCTCCTGCCTACTGTGAGGTATTCTGATGGATATGTGGCAAATATGGAGGCTGTTTCATTTGGGCCATAAACAGACAACACACCTCCACTAAACTCCATTATTGCATCTGCAACAAAGATAAATAAAAGTGCTGTTTGTGGTTGAAACTCTGGAGAGTTAGCATACCGACCAGTGGTTGGCTCAGGTTACTTAAAAATACAAATAATTATCTTCATAAATTAGAACTTTAAGCACAGTTCAGGATTCAAGTCTCTGATTTGTTGTCATGCTCCTGCCTCTTTGCACCAAGTCAAGTTTACTCGTTAAATCAAGTCAAGTAAGTCAAGTCTATCCATCCATCTTCAACCGCTTATCCGGGGTTGGGTTGCGGGGGCAGCAGCCTAAGCAGGGAGGCCCATCTCCTCCGGGGGAACCCTAAGACGTTCCCTGGCCAGCTGAGAGACACGGTCTCTCCAACGTGTCCTGGGTCTTCGTTTAGGTCTTCTCCCGGTTGGACGTGCCTGGAAAACCTCACCAGGGAGGCGCCCAGGAGGCATCCTGACCAGATGCCCGAGCCACCTCAACTGGCTTCTCTCGATGTGGAGGAGCAGCGGGTCTACTCCGAGCCCCTCCCAGATGAATGAGCTTCTCATCCTTTCTCTAAGGGAGAGCCCAGCCACCCTGCTGTACCAGCGATCTCATTCTTTCAGTCACTACCCAAAGCTCATGACCATAGGTGAGGGTAGGAACGTAGATCGACCGGTAAATCGAGAGCTTCCCCTTCTGACTCAGCTCTCTCAACAGACCGGTACAACACCCACGTCACTGCAGATGCAGCACCAATCCACCTATCGATCTCACGCTCCAGCTTTCCTTCACTCGTGAACAAGACCCCGAGATACTTAAACTCCTCCATTTGGGGCAGGACCTCATCCCTGACCCGGAGAAGGCTTTCTACCCTTTTCTCATGGTCTCAGATTTAGAGGAGCTGATTCTCATCCCAGCTGCTTCACACTCGGCTGCGAACCGCTCCAGTGAAAGCTGAAGATCACGTTCTGATGAAGCCAACAGGACAACATCATCTGCAAAAAGTAGAGACCTGATCCTCAGGCCACCAAAACAGATGCCCTCCACACCTTGGCTGCACCTAGAAATCCTGTCCATAAAGGTTATGAACAGAATCGGTGACAAAGGGCAGCCTTGGCGGAGTCCAACTCTCACTGGGAACGAGTCCGACTTACTGCTGGCAATGCGGACCAAGCTCTGACACCGGTCATACAGGGACCTAACAGTCCGTATCAGAGGGCCTGGTACCCCATACTCCCGGAGTACCCCCCACAGGGCCCCCCGAGGGACACGGTCAAACGCCTTCTCCAAATCCACAAAACACATGTAGACTGGTTGGGCAAATTCCCACGCACCCTCCAGGATCCCCCTAAGGGTCTAGAGCTGGTCCAGTGTTCCACGGCCAGGACGAAAACCACATTGCTCCTCCTGAAGAGTCAAGTTTACTGGTTAAATCGAGTCTAACAATTCAAGTCAAGTCAAGTTTACTGGTTAAATAGAGTCTAGCAATTCAAGTCAAGTCAAGTTTACTGGTTAAATAGAGTTAAGTAATTTAAGTCAAGTCAAGTTTACTGGTTAAATCGAGTCAAGCAATTCAAGTCAAGTCACACCACATCTATTCTGTTTTTCCTGCAGTAAGTAAACTTTTCCTTGCACCAGCCGCTGTGTTGGCTGAATCCTAGAGTCAGTTTCCCCAGAACCAGACAAATACTCCAACTTCACTTTGTGATCAGGAAGAAGCAGGTCTAGATAATGGGTGAATGAACATGCTCATTAATAGAGTAATATTAGAAGTTCAAACCATAATAGACCAGAAAGGCCAGTGCTGATGCAACATACGCGCCGAGAATCTGGGAGAGGCAGTAAGGTACCAGCCGCCCCCACCGAACCTGACCCAAAACACAGAAACTCAGCGTCACCGCTGGGTTCAGGTGGGCGCCTGTAAGGAGGAATGAAAGAAAGCGGAAGATGAAACAGGAACAAACTGACCTCAGATCATATGTGACATGAATGCCAATCGGTCATAAGAGCTCTTTAATAAAGCTCCAACAGAACATTTGTATCAGTCTGCTTTTGGGTTTTATTTGTCCCTCTCCAGATGATCCAAGTGTTGACTAAATGGATATCGTGATGCAAACTGAGCTTTTCTGTTACCTGAAATGCCCTTGGTGAGGTACATGGCTGACATGACGCCCACAGAGAAGGACATGTTGACGGACAGGTACTGGCCTTTAGTCTCTCTGCTGGTCTTCACCTGTGCCGCTGCAGCACAGCCAAACAGCTTCGGTTTACCGGGGAAAAAAACATGGAAATCATGAGTTTTAGATGAGGAAAGAACATTTTCCTGGTGGGAAAAACATAGCGCTTTAAAAATGTCACATTATAGGAACACATTCTTAAGTGTGACTCAAAAGGTCCAAACTTAAAGGGACTTTACGGACTTTTGAATTTTTATGCTCGCGATTGCCCCCTCAGGCCAAAAGCGTAACGGCAGCTTCAATAGTAGGCTCGTGCACGTACAGCATGCACATTTATTATTTCTATACATGTTTTGGCTGTCAAACTTCCATAATGTCCCTTTAAGTAAACATTCATGGTCAGGGGAAGGAAGTTACTATTGTAAGAAGACACAACTATTACGTGGCGAGCCATAATCATTAAAAGTTGTTCATAAAGTGCTTATCTTCTAGATAACAGCTGTTTCCAATGATCTGATGCTCATGAAGGGATTTGCTTCTCATGTGTGCACAATAACACCGTTTTCTAAAACCTCACAATAAATAAACGGAAACGTTTCTGGAAAACTTAAAAAGAAAAGATTATATCATTATTTTTATTTTCATGCTCACTGACAGAAACAAGTAGAGTGGGAATGGTGGTGGTGGTGGTGGTGGGGGGGGGGGGGGGGGGGACAACCATGTTATCTAAAACAGGTCATCTCTAAAGGTGACTGGAGTTAGATTTATGCTCAACTTTAACACCAAATGTGTCAGAAAATGTAAAGATGTTAAAAAAAATCCTTATATAATGAAATAATTATCACATTATTTATGTTTTTAACCCTTCCACTTGCCTATCAGGTGACCCTGCCAGGACAGGGGGTGGCTGAACGGGGTTTACAGTTTATGCCTTGGCAGGGGTGAAGTGATGCGCCCCGTTAAAAATAGTAGAATAAAATATAAAAGCACACCAGAGCTCCATCTGACCCCATTAACGATGCAGGAGGGTTAAATGGTTTTGATAGAGTCCTGGAACCCCCCAAGGTGCTTTACAACACACCCTGGTGGTGATGAGCTACATTATTGCCACGGCTGCCCTGAGGATGGAGGTGAGGCTGCCGTACGGGCGCCACCGGTCCCTCCGAACATCACCGGCAGGACAGGGGGGTTAAGCGACAGACTGAGCGAGGCTCGAATGTGCAACCTTCCAATTACAAGCACTTAACTCCTGTGCCACCGTCGCCCAATCATTTCTTTATGAATGTTGGTGCAAACAGCACAACAGCCGGAGCCGAAACGGAAACCCTTCCAGCCAGACTCAGTAAACCAGTAGAAAACCCACAAATGCCCGACCTAAAGGACACAGAGAAAGCGCCTTTTAGGGTTTTACGACCCCCCAAGGCGCTTTACAATACCCACACATGCAAATTCACATCCAGTCCTCCCCCACCTGCCCCCTGACAGAGGGAAAAGTTGGAATTGAGGAAAAACACATTAAACATAAAGGCAACAGCTCTAATCCACAAGTGGTGGGTGGGAGGGGTGAGGATCCCCTTTGCACCAGGAGGGTTCGCACCCATCCAGCGCACACTCCAGTCCTGCTGCTCCAAGATGTAGAGGACAGCACCGTCTGTGTATCCACTCTCGAAGAGTCTTGACTTCTCCGGCCGTCAAGGACTCGCGAGTAATGTCAGATAACAGAACCGGCAAGAGATCATTTTCCTCTGCGTTTTCAGTCCGCCAGTCTCAAAGGCACCAAGCAGCAAAGGGTTTAGATTCCTCCGAGTTGGTTCCCATTCCGTGTGGCAGAGTTGAAACCGCAGCCAGATAACTGCTCAGAGCCTCTAAGTTGCAACTCACATCGAGCAAGTTTCTCGAGTTTGAGTCTGAGAGTTCAAAACATGGCAAATACCTTCTCCGAGGCTCTGAGCAACTCCAGAATCTTCCAAACAGGTAGCCACCAGGTTTCGTCAGCAAAAACTCGCCAATCATGAATCCAAATATACAAACATCTTCTGAATCCTCCACGGAAAGCAGCGAGAGGGCCGTACTCTTCCATTTGTCCCAGTAACCCATAGCGTTTCGTCCAGGCACGATGGAGCGCCCTTCTCCGTCCGTAAAACGGAAAAAAACCTAATCAACTGCATTCTGAGCCCAGCTCACCAGATCCGTGGTTTGGAAAAATCTAGAAGAGGTGCTCTGGTGGACAGAACAGGAGCAGCAGGATAATAATAATAATAATAATAATAATAATAATAATAATAATTATTATTATTATTATTATTATTATTATTATTATAACAACAACAACTATAATAATAATAATAGTAATATAAATAATAATAATTATTATTATTATTATAATAACAACAACTATAATAATAATAATAGTAATATAAATAATAATAATGCATTGAACTTATATAGCGCTTGTTGAGGACACGCAAAGATGCTTTCATGCACTCTCACATTCACACACTGCCAGTGATGGTAAGCTACTTTGTAGCCACAGCTGCCCTGGGGTGATCTGTCAGAAGTGAAGTGTCTTGCCCAAGGACACAACAGCAGAATCCCCCTGGCGGGAGCTGGAATCGAGCCCATGACCCTCCGATCATGAGGCAACCCGCTCTACCTCCTGAGCTACTGCTGCCCCAGAAAGGATGATAGAACTGGGTGGAGAAAGAGGAAAAGTGCCTGCTTCAGTGTAGGAGAATACTTTGACGAGGTCAGCAGTACAGACCTGTTAATGTGAGTGAAGAATTAAAAAACACAAACAAGGACAGATCTACTGTGTTTTATGCGGTTTATAACTACAAAGATTGCTTGTTTAGTCATGAGGGTGAGAGGAACCATCGCCTTTATCCATTTCGTCTCAGTGTTAAGGTCACGTTGACATTTGATTAAAGAGTTATGCAAGCCTGTCACATGCTTATAATTCAAATTCAAAGATACTTGATTAATCCCAGAGGGGAACTTAGAGGTAAGTCAGTGTTTCTGTGATAAAAAAGTTGAAAGCTACTTCTCACTGTCTTGTTGGCACACCGCTTGTGTAGGACAACTCATATCTCACGCTAGATTATGCTTTTAACAGGAATTAAAGACAACATATGTTGTTCTAACTTGGTTAAATCTCCTTAAATGAACAGGGTATCTGCAGATTTAAAGGAGCCAAATTTAAGACTTTTTAATACCTTTTTTAAGGCCACTTTGACCAAATTTAAGCTATTTTTTAAATTAAATTTAAGCTATAATTTCCAGCTATTGCCTGGAACCAGTGCTAACCACGCCGCGATCGTGGGATTAGCCATCCAGTTACCATTAAACTTGCACTTCCCCATGGCGTAAGCTCCCACTAGCTTAACCAGCTAATGTGCTCATCTAAAAATAGCCCTCTTTCACAACCAACTGAATATGTACGGTTCCGCTTACGCCAACATCGTACACAACAAATGCTGAACACTAACTAGAAATTCACAAAAATTTTATAGAAATAAAAAATATTTTGTTTATTGGGTTTTTGGTAATTTAAGACCTTTGGAAACTGTTTTTAAGGATCATTTGTCATTTTTAAGGATTTTTAAGGCCTTAAATTTGGAAAAGCTAATTTAAGACTTTTTAAGACTTTTAAGGACCCGCGGATACCCTGATGAAGACTTAAATGAACTTTTGTGACTCACCATCAAGATAAAAGTTCCCAAGAATTCAGCCATGCACTCTCTCAGCAGAGCGTTCCTCACTCTCAGCGTCCGTAGCTTCAGCATTGTCCAATCTAAATCAAACCAGCCCTGGACTCCGGCTCGATGGGCTTCGGCGAGAGAGCCTTCAGGTGGACTCAACGCTCCTCTTCAAGTGAGCATCGAAAGACGTGTGCACGGCAGGTCCTTGGCGTCCTGCG